GATTGACATATATAGCTATAAATATTCGAGACACAATTACAGAACATGTTGCCCTTCAAACACCCATACTCACAGTGTACCTATCCTCTCCGATAACATGAGGCTCCTTGTCTAGACCACGAGCGGGTCAGAGTGCACTGTCGCAAGGTGCCTGTTGCCCCAGCGGACCATATATGCGCATAGTCCCGAACCTAGACCATAAACATTAGATGCTACCTGGAGCTGGAGAGGAGGCAACACACTGACACCCCAGTCCTGGTACTATAATTCAGTTCTTGTCAGCACTGGCCTCCCCTCATACTTCTATGTCACCTTGCAAATGCACTTACATATTGCATGCATATATGCCTATATCTCCACATTTAAGCCTATCCGCAGTCAAACCAACTGCGAGATTAGTTAGGATGCGCGGGGTTTGCATCGCGTCGACGTACAAATTTGCCAACAGGCACCACAGGTGGCCCGGACATATAGCTCTACGTCGGCCCCACATTACCGTAGTCCGGATGTACCCCCGAGTCAGCCAGCGACGCCGCACGAAGTGCCACCACCGTCTGTTGGAGCCTCCGAGCTGACTCATGCAAGCCGGACATCCACTTCAAGAACGTAAAGCAGTGCTCACCATCGGGATGTTGTGGCCATTGTCCTGACTGCTGACATCCAGCGTCGACCCCAGCGAGTCCATATACTTACTTCGAGTACGTGTCCAGTGCTCATCTTCGTTGGGTAACTCAGATCTGCCGCCGCAAAAAGAGACTAAATGTTGAAGAGTAGTCGCGAGACGTAGAAAGCGCGAGAAGCAGGAGAGCGAGGAGGGGCGAATGAAGGGAGAGGAGAGCAGGGGAGCGAGAGGAGCGAGGAAGAGAGAGAAGTATGAGACAACTACGCGCGCCAGCGGTGTTTCAAACTCAGCTAGCTAGCCAGAAACTAAACTCGGGCAAGTTTATGAGATATAGTTCAAGTGAATACTTGCGAGAGTTGGCGTGGAACGACTGTACTGGCCTATCCCAGTTAGATAGACATCGGTAGACCTAGTCGTGGTGAAAGATGAATGAGCTTGGCGCGTACGTGACTTGCTCACGTGGTCAGACCTAATTACAAGGTGGCTACCTAAATTAGTCGATACAGACATCTATCGCTGACTTCGGCCGTAGAGTTAGAGCTGGTCACTGCTAGTCAGGGCCTGACTAAGAGGCTCTGCCGCACAGTGATGTACATCTCCGAGATGACGGAGCTCGTGAGCAAGGTGAGCAAGATGCCTGTTAAATCGCGAATTCGGTGGCCCATAGTTCGCATGTCGGAAAAATCAGAAAAGCCTGATATTGCTATACAATGCCAGATAATGCACTGATAAGTTAATCAGGTTCGAGGAGAGTTATCGGGTTCAGAAATGATCGAAAAGCGCGTATAAGCCTCCGTCAGGCTGATCAGGCCTGACAGGGTTTACAAGCCATTATAAGGAATGATAAGCCCAGATAGGCCATGGGTCCCAGAAATTACAAAAGGAAGAGCCACTCACGCCACCCGAAGGTCATCGACACCACTATCTTAGTGTCTATCTAAGACGTCACTAATACAAGTACTTCGACTTCGATTCGAACGAGCGGCCTTGAGATGAACAATGATATATATGAAGACTAACGATATAACTACTACACTATGCAACAATAACTGTGTAGGTCCCAAATTGGCATATATACATCATGCATACTGCCTTACCGGGCGACTCATAATGACTGGACTCGGATACCGTCGCTTGCGCTCACGTCCTCTGACGTACGGCTCCTGTAGATTTCACCATAGCTTTAGACTTAGGCTATAATGCTACCGTAGTCGACATGCCACCTTTAAGACACTAAATCCGTGTAAAGGCTGCGACCGTATTTCAAGATGTTTCCGACGTACAGGATCTACTACAGATATTACAGCACCGCCAGAAGCCCCTACCTAAGCTAAACCTGACAACACCTGATAAGGGCTTATCACCCTTGAAACATAACATTATAATGCCTGATCAGTCCGTCAGGTTCTGTCAGGGCTTATCAGTCTTTTCCAGATTTTCCGACACAACAGGTCTTCCTGCCAAGGCAGTCACTTTGCCAGAGTACAACGTTTCGGGGTGTTGTGCGGCAACAGATGGCTTTGGGACTTCAGCAATGGATTGCAAATATAGCTTATGAGCTACAAAAGTCATGTCAGTAACCGCGACGCCAACGCAATACTACAACGTACCCCTGATAGCCGTAATGATACGCTTGCGGATATCGAGATCAGTGATTTCCGGAATGTCCGGAGAACTGCACGGGTACAGTCAGTTGGGAGGTTAAAGGGGAAACTTGGAACACACTGTCAAGCTCTGGGTAAGGCCGTCAGACAAAAGGGTTAGATATCTTGGACTTCGGGCGGACAGACCCGTTTAATCCACCGCAATCACATCAAACTCCGTATCGCTACTTCCGCCGGGCCATATAAGGCGAAGTCGATGCATTGCGTCCAATCTGTCCTCGAGATGCTACTGGAGCCACCGTTCCACCTGATCCTCCTGTGCATCGAAGGAGAGGCCGCTGGGCTGATCCCTTGTGAGAGACCTGGAAGTGAGAGCGTGTGCCCCAGAGAGAGGCTCACCTTAAAGAACCTGATAGCTTTGAGTTTTGACTTTGGAAGGTCCGTCTTTACTTTGATCACGTCGGTGATCGAGTCCACACGGCGCGTAGGGTCCATGTCTAAAACAATGGTTCTCTCTTCTGGACGGAGAAGAGCTATAAAGAAGTAGCACGCCAAATCATACCGGGGTGTCATTATAGAGTGCGTTTACGTGAAAATACTTGGAGAGCAAGAGACGCTCGATTCTCTGTTGTGGCAGAATGTGGCACACGTCGTGGAGTTTCTCACGGTGGGCTTTTGAGTCCCCCGCAGCATCCGAGGGTATTACACCCTGAAGAGTGGGTTCTAAGTTCCGTGCAGTATGTCCCGGATTCAGAACAAGGCCTTATGCCGGGGTCCACCGCAGATCGGAGGGTAACAAACCCTAATAAATCCAGTATCCAACAGCACAATTACATTTACATGGGTACAATAGGGGCGCTTCCCTTCTCAATTGCCGTCCGCAAACTGTGCACCCCTTGGTCAGTCATCACGCAGACAGACACCGACGATAGCACAACACACCTATAATCGTCCCCATTTTGCGTGATATACCGTACCCAGGGCAGTGCCTGGTACCCGCTCTTCTCCACAATCTTCAAGTACCGCACCTGGATCCCTGACACAGTGAAGTAAGGGATCTCGAATTTTACCGTGATTGGTGCCCGCTTCTCCGCGTCTTGCTCTAGAGGGCGGCGGGTGAGCCAGCAGCCCAGCACGAATTGAAGGGGTGCCCACCTGCCCGTACACTCGGCAGTCCAAAGTGCGCGCGCATGAGGAACTCACGCGCTCCACCCAGCTGCTTGATCTTCCACACGAAACACGATTTGTCCGGCGCGTATTGCACGCTCCCCGTCGACGCCTACATCCCATGAGCGACCGCCCCACATCCTGTCAGTCAACCCACTCACCCTGAACTTGGGGCTATCTGCATCGTCCGGAACCGGCACGTAAATCTCGACATTATTCGCCGTGCTCCGCCGCTTGAACTGCGCCTTGCACTTGACCATGTACTCGATCCTGCTGCCCTTGTGGCTCTCCACGGCGGCCTCGACCCAAATCAGCGGCTTCACGGGCGTTGAGAGGCGGTAAGACATGAGCTCAAACTCGCCGTCGGGAGGGATGAACGAGATTGTGCGATCGTTCTCGAACCGCGACAGCCGCACGCACTGGTGGAACTTGACGTCCTCCATCTCAATCGCTTTCCCGCGGGATGCTGTGGGACTGGGTTAGTGAAGGACGAGGGGAGGAAGGAGCGAGACGCGCACTTCGCCCGGTGGTTTCGAACATGACTTTGTCATTAAGTCCTAGCCGTAGCTCGGGCATGCCGGAGAGGTAGCACTTCATCTTGACCGCGCCCAAGATCTCAGAGCGCACAACATTGCCGTTTGCGTTCACAAGCAGGTTCACGCTCTCGATAACGTCCAGGAACACTTCATTCTTCCGGTATCGGATCCCCTCCGTGCGCCACGAGACCGCGTTTGTGACCGCCATCGGTGGGCGCACCTGTACCTCCAGTTTGTGACTCTCCTGTGTAATGTACCTGTACGCACCAAATGTTAGCTCGTCTCACATGGCACGTCGCAAGAAAGGAAAGGACGATGGGAAATGGATAGAAGACATACTCTTGCAGAATCTTACTCTCCGTCGTCTGCGGATACCCGAAGTCCATCATCTCGTCCATAAGCTCATATATAATCACAAAGTTGTCCCGGATAGATTCCTCCTCGAGCTCCTTGAAGTACTCGGTCAGCACCGACACCAGTCTGTGCAGGAATATGATGATCTCCGCCGCGTTCGAGTTTCGTTTTGACAAGGCCAGCACTACATCCCGCATATCCAGGTTTCAAAACGCGTACTAGCAAACAGAGAGCATAAACAGCTCACGGTACAGATTCGAATGTCGGATATGCATGTAATTCACGCCCTCCCTCGAGAAACACGGCGTAACCTGCTGGCCCTCCTCCTCGATGTCCAGCACGATGGGCATAAACCGCTCAATATACGACGTCGGTACGTCATCGCGGTACGTTCGTGTAATAAGCGGCTTGCCTTTGAGGTCGAGTATTGCAATTAAGCTGGCCATGGTCAAGGGGAGGGTAGTGCTGCGGCAATAGCCGAAAGCACTTGTTTAAAGTGGCGTATCGGTGGCAGGTATAACAGAATCCTCATGCGCGGGAGTAGACGTATAGCAAACGGAAGCAACAATGTCGTGATTAGGATATTGTAAGTAGACGTCCGGGGTAGATAGCATATTTCCAAATTTGAAGCGATGCGAGAGAAGGGGGTCACGGGGGAGAGGGCAACTTCACTTCCTCTTGAACCAAGCCAACCAACCCCCCTCGTGCTCCTCCTTTGTACCCTTGAGTAACGGCGTCTCCTCGCCCACCCGCTCCTCATACACCGACCCTGCCCTGACATCCTCCTCCACAGCGCTCTCCACCGCAAGGGGCACGTCCGTTGCGCGCCTCGTCACCGGCACCGGCGACTCGTTCTCATTCTCACCTGCGCTCTCCCCGGACCGCGGCTCGAGCGGCTCCCCAAAGTCATCGATCCCGAGTCTGCGCTGGCGGAACTTCCAGATGATGCACATCACGAGTAGGGTGCCCTGCATGATCCCCGCGACGGCGAACGTGATCCAGCCTGCGGGACGGGCGTGAGTCTCCCCTGCACCCTCATTTCACCGAGCGCTGTTGCACTTACTAGTCCAGTTCGTTCCCGGCCTGCATGGTTATCAGGCTCTCAGCAAGTAAACTCTCAGACGAGGGCATTGCACTCACCGTAACGCAATAGACAGTACCATCAACACCGCTCCCGGGCTCTGTATGCACATCATGGGTATGCTCAGCGCGCCGACCAGCTTCATCCTGTACGTGTGCACTATCTGTGGCGCGTACTGGACCGCGGCGAGCCCCGCGGACGCGACGCCCAGGAACGTCGCCCAGAGCTCGATGTGCGGGGGCAGGGGCACGCCGGAGGTCGATGGGGGGAGTGGGGTGGTTATCAGGAGCGCAAAGGTGATGAAGGTAATGAGGACACTGGGATAAGTACTTGTGTCACCTAACTTAGCGGACGAGAGAGGGGAGTGAATGACGAACATGTGGATAAACACGACCCATGCAAGGGTGATAGAGAGACGCCACTCGTCGCTCTTGATACTCGTCTTGACGTGCTGTGGCGGCCTGCTATCGTGTGCGTCCACATCTACCTCGGCGTACTTTTTATGCGGAGGGTAGTATACCATGTAAAGGACTAGACTTCGAGCCGCGAGGTCATACACGCAAGTCGCAGCGAGACTGGAAGAAACGAACATACATTATCGTGAACATGGACCACTGCAGGAAGACCTGGAATACCCCCGCGGTCATCTCCAGACAGCTGCCGAAGCCCTGTCCGCGTACTCTGCAACCGTATCGAAAGGAGAGCTGCAAGAGCACGCACGACATATCGACAACATCGCATTATGCTCCACTGCATGACCACCCTAGCATCATTCCATCCTCTCAAGCGCAATTCCCGGCAGAGAGAGGGGGGAGCCTCACATGTTCAGCATGCCAGACGCGGCGGAGGTGCTGCCAAGGAGCAGGAACCACGGGCTGAAGCCCTCGCTCGACTTGGTCAGGATAATCCTGAAGTGCTGCGCAATTTCCATCCATTCATCAGACTGGTCTATCCCACAGAGATACTGAGAATGTTGCCCACCTGGGGTAAATAGGAGATAATGAGCCCGACACATAGCCCGCTCGTGAGGAACGCTGTGAACCAGTCATGATGCTAACAAGGTCCTTCAGTCAGAAAAGAGCAATACGCATATTCGACTTACAGGTTTACACGAGTCCGACATCTTGCAGGAGACCGACGGAGACAGAGGACAGAGAGCCTGTAAGTAGGGCTCTGTGTACAAGGCGGCCTGACGCGCCGTGACAGGAGTACGTGACTCGTGACTCGTCACATGAGCGTGGCTCTCACGATGTGGCATTGTGGCAGTGGCTGCATATCAACTGTGGATGGTTGATTTCTGGCAAATTCAAACCTATACAAGAAGTAACCAAACAATACGCTCAATATAATCCATCTTTTTACGAGGATGATCAAACTTGCATGATACTGTAGTAGCGGTATCTCCAATAAATTTGAAGAACCATGCCCATGGCATTGTTCCAGCTTACGGTTTTCGGGAATGTGGTCTTTACCTAATTCATAAAATGTAGAATCGGTCACTCCAGTTTTGAAGGGGGCGAGGTGCGGGGGCGCGGAATTGAGGTAACAATGGTATCATGAAGGATGCATCAGCAGGACCTCTGCCCGGTATACTGAGGCCAATTAAAGTCACCGAGTTCACAAGCTCTGCCTAGGCAGCGGGCTAAGGGCCTGTTCGGATCATTGGTTAAGCTTTGGTTTGGTGTTGGCTTAGCTTCAGAAAGCCGGAGCTAGAGGTGCTCGAAGCTGAGTGGCATAAGCATGACACAAATCGACACATCTTCCCACCACTAAAAAAGCAGACTGTGTGATGCAACGTGACAGGAAATTTGGGGCTAAGCAGAACGTTCCCAAACACACCCTTAGCTTCGCTTCGTGATCCGAAGCCAACCCTTAGCCATTGGCTTCATTTTTGGCGGGTAAGCCAAGGCTTAATCAGCGTTCCGAACGGGCCCTAAGAGCCTCTGGGTGGACGACGGTTGGTGCCGTACCTCGTAGGTACAAAGACGATGACATCCTGGCTGTTGGCTTATCCTACTCAGTACATCGGCTTTCCCGAAATCGGTGCATTTGCGTTGCGCGCAGGAGCCTGTATGCTATTAGGAATATCACGATCTTGACTGGAAATCGGGTGAGATTGGGGTGCAAAATGGTACAAAAAAGGACTGGGTGGTTCGGAACCACCTGCTATAGTGGCAAACTGGGGCTGTACCTATTGTAAGTTGCCGGCGAGCCTATGTTTGTCCAGAACAAATTGGTACAAAATATCGATCAAGACGCCTTGGGAACTTGAAGGCCGGTTCCTGAGAAAAAAGACAGGAAATTATCATATAGACATGAATTTGGAATATTGAGCCGAAGGATGCTCGAGCATGAAGAGCATGGCCGGACAGTTGCCACTTCCGTAGTGTTATTTCCAGCAACTGCTAAGACACATCTAGACCAAACAGCCCTTCATAGCACCACTCGCGTTCGACGGAGGTTTTTGTGTATTCCGATGATTTCGCCAGTGCGCTAGCCACGGGGCTCATTGATAGGATTATGCTAATCCTCCGACACGAAAGCAGGCAGGCTTGCCGCGGCCTGTCTAAGTACGCAGCAGACCCGGAGGAAGGGAAGCCCAAAGAGGAAATGGCGAGGTCATATTTGGACAGTTTGACGCTAACGCTGACAGCAGAGCGATTACCTGCTTACGACATGTTTTATTTATATTCTGTGATTGCGTCAAATACTTCTTCTTAAGTTCTTATCCCTAAACCGGTAGTAGGCAAGCCTAGTTGGGAACTGTGGCTGAGGATCGGAACTTCTGTGAAAAGGTCAATGTTATCGTCGCTCGCATATAAAGGCAGCGCCGCTTCGCTGCCTGCCCATACACACCTTTCTCTTCCCCTCTCACTGTGGCTATCTTGGCTACAAGATGTCGTCGACTTTCTGCTAGTCCCACGGCCTAAGGTATTGCTTCGGCCGTCTTCTAGTCAGTCACTCGCCCTTTCAAATTTTGCTAATATTCCTCAGCCTTCGTTAGAATTTGTAGTAATTTTTTGGCCAAGAGCAATCCATTATCTAGGACAACAGGATAGAAGAGGTTACGCACTCTACGTTCATCGCTCACGTTGACCTTTGCTCTCCGAGGGATTCGAACTCAAGACCAGGCACGGTCAAACCGTACTGGCGGTGCCGACCGATGAGATCTTGGGTTCGGAGTCGGCATCTTCGATCTGACAGGGACTTCATCTGACGTTATCACTGCGCGGCCTGTCCTGGCCAGTCTGCACTGGCGGGACGCTGGCCACGGCGGCGATGCTCCCCGAGGAGCCTGGCGTTTATATCCCTTTGCCCGCAGTGGATATACGACGAGGAAGGAGGCCACGACGTCGAACGAGGTAAAGCAGACAAGAGAAGGGATTTGCCTCGAGCTTGGCACGTCCATTTCATTATCGCTGTCCAACTAATCTAATCTGTATCATACCATTCAGGTTGTCAGGACATAGCCGCTGGCCGTGCGCCTTATAATAGTCCGGCCGTCTTTGAGATATTGACGCCTGTCCGCCCTTGCCTCCCCCACCGCTCTTTCACCGACCCGTCCATTGCCCATATACCCCGACCCAGTCGCTCGTTGTACCACACATCTCGGTAAAACCTACATCCACAAAATGTCGCGGCCTCTCTCGTATGACGTCCGCTCCCCCCGATCGGTGAGTACTCTCGTGTTTCACCTTGCGTGCGTACAGTAAGCGCCGTGTACGCCCTCGGTGGTGTTGGTCATGTCGGTCTCGGGCTCTGCTCGGGACCCTCCATCAAATTTCCTCGTGTCCTCCTCACCGCAAGCCGAACACCCCTCCTTTAAACTTAGACTTGACACTTCCTTTCGCGCTTACCCCGCACCCTCGTAATCCCCTTTAACCTTTGCTTCCCTTATTCTTCGTTGCTTCCGCTTCCTCGCATCTCCACATATCCAACGAATAGCTAGTCTCTAACTTACACTTCACCAGCCCCGCCCCAAATCAATGCATGCGTACAGCTCACCATCCACTCGCCAACTCTCCCCCTACCTCCCGCCCATGCCCGTCCCTTCCCCTTCGCACCGCCCGCCCAACCCGCGACGACACACCCTCGGTCGTCCGCTGCGTTCCAGCCCGCTCGCGGGACCCGCCTTGGTGTCTCCCGATAACCAGGACTATGATGCCGAAGACCAGGACGGGGACCGGAAGAGTCTCAGGAAACGCATAGCGAGTGTCGGCGATCTACTTGGGAAGGGCAGGGGGAAGCACGATGAGGGGGAGAGGGAAGGAGATGAGGAGCACAAACAGACCTCATCTTCCGGCTCGCATACGAGCACTACCGCTTCGCGCCCGGGCTCGTCAAGCGGTTCGCCCACCTCTACCTCATCCTCGTATACCACCACCACCACATCGATTTCGCTGACCTCCCTCTCCTCGCATGATCACTCATCCGAATCTATAACGACCTCTAAACTCGGGAAGCGAATCAGCTTTGCAAGCCTCCCCACGACCGTCAAGTCCAAAGGAAAGGAGAAAGAGGTCCCGGACGTACCTGCCCTACCCGAGTGGGCGCGGTCGTCCTCCGCGACGAATGCACACATACACAGCAACAGGGACAGGCCGGCGAACCACCGGTTCTCGTCGTTACCTTCAAGGAACGGGGCGTCTCCTCTCTCATCCACACCTATGAACGCTCGTCCCTCGTCCTCTCACTCTAAGTTCCCATCCGCCACCCAAGCGCGTGAAAGAGTGCCCAGTACCTCGTCTGCCAACGCAGACTGGCTCCTCTCGAATCCGTACGAATCGATTCCCCGGTTTTCCCGCCTCGGCCTCGCGCGCACCGGCGTCGTCATGCCCGTGAAGAAGGCGAGCGCGGAGGGGCTGCGGGTGCGACGTGCGAGCACTCTGAGCATGCGGAGTGCCGCTGGGGGAAGGACCGAAGAAGATGGGGAATGCAACAGGGAGGGAAGAGGAAGAGAGAGAGCGGGCCTGCCGACGCTGACAGTCACCCCGCCCGAAGTCGAGTCCGGCGCGGCGCTCGCCAGGTCCGCGTCCAATACCTCGCGGACGTCCGAGGTGAGCGGCAGCACCGGCAGCCTCGGGAGTGCGGTGAGTCTGGGCAGCGCCGCGAGCGGGAGCGTCAGCTCGCTGGGGAGCACGCAGAGCGAGCCGACGACGCTCGGGTATGGCGAGGGGGAGGGAGGGAAGTTGGTCGGTTGGGTGAGGAGGAAGATCGGGCGCGCCGCCTCTGCGTCGCCTGCTCCTGCGGCTGCGGCTTCCGAACCTCCTCCCGTGACCCCTCCCGCTATCCCACCCGCTGCGTTGGTCCGTGAGAGGAAGGACAGCGAAGTGAGGCGGGTGAGAGGGCGGGAGGAGGCGCTCGCCGCGCTGGAAGGTGCCCGCCGGACACTCCCACCCGTACCCGCGGTATCAGACTTGGGCAGGACGCGCGACTCGGACAAAGCAACCCTCCAAGGGGACGCAGAAGCTCGGATCGCGAATGTACGGAGGACGCGATCCGAGAAGGCGTTCTCGGTCGTGCGCGGGGCGCGCGGGGAAGTCGAGTTTGCCAAGACCGAGATAATTGTGCAGGTGGCGCAGACGGAGAAGGGGAAAGGGGGTCTGTGGAGGAGATTCACTAGCGTGAGGAGGAAGGGGAAGAAGGAGAGGGCAATGATAGCGGTGGCTGCCTGACCCGCTCAACGATCCGGCACTCGCTGCGGCTGGACCTTGTTTCTAGATATCCATCTCTGTTGTCCGAAGGTTTGAAGATATACCTTTAACTTAAAGCAGGCTCGTGCCCCGCGCCGTGCATGCAATGTATTAGATACCAGCCAGGTGCAACAAGTAGAGTTAATCCTAGCCACCCATATTCACAAGTATGTACGCAGGCTTGTGGACTGTAATGATTAGTCTGTTTAGAGAGTGGCTACGTCTTATTGGCAGTGGAAGGCAGAAGGGTGGATTCCTTGTCAATCTATACCTGACGACGAATGTGGCATGAGGATGTGAGACTCAGACGTCGTCTCGATGGTCGTTCCTCACAAGCCAGGTGTGGCCACGAAATATCTCTTCGCGCTTCAATCCTGCTACCAGCTGTGAGTCGTAGTGCTTTCACTACTTCGTAGAATTACACGGGGAAATCATTACATGCGAAGATGATACTGTACTATTCTTGTGGCTACATATCTACTCTTATGCTCGTGTGGACTCGAAGCTCGAAAATGAAATACTACAGGATATGCACACATAACCATCAAGCACCCATACTCACCTGGCCTTCCCGAGCGAAATATGCTCTAGCTTCGTGGCCAGCGTCTTCGAATACTGCGCTGACTCGACATCCGGATCGGGTTGCAATTCATGTTCCTCTCGATCTCGTGAAGCGGATTAGACACCCCGGACATGTTGGCGACTCGGCAGCACGCCGCGTGGAGGCGCAGGTAATCGGGGTCGGGCAATGGCAAGGAGGGGTTGGACGACGCGAATGTGATCACAATGCCGCTAATGATAGCCTCTTGCGGCAGCGGGAAGAGTTCGGTGCACCCTGGGATTTGATCGATTAGTAGAAAGAACAGCAGCAGAGGAGTGTTGCAAGGCATACCTCGATCGGTTCAAACCAGTCTGATGTTTGAAAACAGCAGGGGTAAGATGATGGCGATATGGGAGAAAACAGGGAATATTCACGCACCAACGTTCTAGCCTTAATGTGATCCCCGGGAACCTCCTTGAGCAATTCAGCTACTTCCTCGTCGGCGAGGTGGTAGGAGGGTCTGGCAGGCGAGGATAATGATACTGGCGTCCGACCTTTGAATTGTCGAACTCCAGTATGTCAACATGATTGGTTAGGGATGCACACGGAGATGTTTGAAATTATGGCGAAGAGGACGAGGACTTGAATCGAAAAGCAGGGGCATCAGGACGATGAGAGGGTTCGAAAGCCCGACGGAGCGCGAGGGCCTCGCTTTGTTAACGCACTCCCCCTTAAATTCTTGCTACTCGGCTTCGAGTATGCAATATTTTTCGTCAGGCTTCTGCTGGCTTCTGCCCACTGTGACTGGTGCAGAGCAGGGTGTGGCAGAGCAACCCCTGTGGCGCCGCCGGTCGGACGCGATCACGTGCGTTTGCGGACCCTCGGCGCTCTCCAGAGTCTCGTAAGTGACTTAAGAGTCTACCCAATGTCTACCTGCAAAATCGCGTACAGTGGGTATGGACGCGATCACTTGTGGGTAACGGGCGATTGACTGCTGATCAGACTGTATTTTGGAAACGTTCAGGATAGCTAGGTGTACCTTTCGGTGCAGACATTTACCAGTCGGTGCACGTGTACTACGCTCGTGGACCTATGCTTCGGCGATTGACTTGCAGCGGGACGCCTCTATTGTCCTCTAGTCTATCGTCGAAGCTTGGGACCACAGAACAGGAGCTGAGAGAACGGCCGACAGAGTGCCAGGATATGAAGCTAGGCTGGATCACTTCTGTTGGAGGATTCCAATGCGAGACAGGCATGTGCACCGACACAACTGCCAGCTGGACGCGGCAGGGATGGCCAACCATAGCCAGGCACGTCTTCTCGTTTCGATCCCGACGCACAGCATATGAGCTGGTACTGAGGACAACAAGCATGCGACCGCAAGTCTTGTTACAATCTCCCCGAGTCCCCCCGGCCTTTTGCTGCAGACATGGACTTCCCGAATTTGTATAACTCTTGTTATCCGAAAGGCATTGCAGGTGTCTTTAACGCGCAAGCAACCAGCTGAACGTACACAAGCCTTCGGGAACGCGAAGGAATCGACGAAGGGTGCTCGCTGGTGTGCATGTTACGTTGGACGATGTGTCGCTGTAGGGCCTCAAAACCGAAAATCTTGCACTAACATTTGTTGCATGCTAATTGACTGTACGTAACGATGTCCTTCAAGTCTCCAACTCACTCAAGTTTCCCATTGGCCACATAGAACGAACTGCCCAGTTCACCCGGTACTCTCCGGCATATATGTTCCCCTGGCGTATTCGACGCTGTCGCTTCTCCATCAGGTTGGAACTGAACTGCATAATTAAATGCAGTAGGTATACTTAGGTATGCCGACTGCATGAAAACGGCGTGCTTACACTGCGGTCTCCGTCTTTCTCCATGGGAACCGCCAATATTATCAAACTTAAGAGGCTTTACTGAAGCTCGAGGAACGCTCGCGTTCGATACTGTTTTCAGCAGAGGTTTTCCCTGGCGCTTCCGCTCACATGCTAGTCTCATTTGTTCATCGTTACGCTGCACACGTAACAATTATGCCACCTTCCATTCATCTAGCTGGCAGGACTTCGGTAGCCAGATACTCCTTGTGGACGTCAAGGGATGTTCTCGTGAGGTTCGTGGGCAATCACTGCCTATGTATATTTTACTCATCGGACTCGTGTCCCCAGTATTCGGATCACGGTTGAACGTGCTACGTGATCCCCCACTTTCGCCATTATATTTGGATGCTTGACCGCTGCTTCTTCCATGGAATACCATCTTCGGTGCGGCTGCAACAAGTGAATACAGTCATACGCACCACAACGCTGCGTGCTGTCAAGTAGGCTCTCCAGTGCTGACGTTGGGTGTTCTTACGCCTTTCTTTCGACAGAACATAAAAGCCGTCACCACATTGCTCTTCATGAACCACGAACGACCAACCTCGCATTGATAGGCATCCACCATGGCAAGCATCACCACCTCGTTCAACGAGAACCACGAACGCGTCGGCTCCTGGTTCCTCGGACCCAAAGCTGAAAATCTTGACTATTTCTCCAAATTCTTCCATATCATCTTGGACGACATGAAGAAGGGCCGTTTACTATTTGGCCCCAACGACGCTGTACGTCTCATTCGCATACTCCTATCTCGATCAAGGACTCATACACTCCATATAGCCTTCAATCACTAAGGGGATACGCGCGTCAGAAGCCTTCGGAAACGGAATGGCAGACCTCGAAGAGCTACTAGGCAAACTGTCAGAATTCATGTCAAATCACAATGTTCCCTTCTACTCCCCCAGATATATGGCTCACATGTCTTATGAGAACTCCCGTATGTCCTACTTTCCTGGGATCGGACATGCGTCGTTCTAACGCCTTCTCCAGTTCCTGCTGTGCTCGGTTACATGCTCGGTCTATTCTACAATCAAAACAACGTGCGACCCACTCGTCCGCAAGAAATTGTTTTGTACTAATGCGCGGCTGCCCCTGTCAGGTCGCTGTGGAGGCGTCCCCGGTGACCACTCTGCTCGAATGGGAGGTCTGCCAATTTCGTGGCATTGTGATTCGTGCGTTTCCTGACTTCTCTCGGGGGTTATAGGTGGGACAGCAGCTATGCGAAATGCTTGGATACAAGCGCCATTCTCTGGAGATAGCCTCATGGAACCCGCAACACAAACGCTCTGCGGACGAAGAGCCCTTTGGCTGGGGTATGTTGACGGGTCATCCCGTACTATATGGCACTCTGATCATGAACTCGTGGTAGGGCATATTACTTGCGACGGTTCCGTTGCGAATCTGGAGTCCATGTGGTAAGTCGAGCCTCTTTCTCCGTTTGAGTCTCCGTTCACTTACATATCTCGCTGTCCAGGGTCGGTGAGTACTCGTAACATAGAAGATATTTGAAGGTAACCCTGAATCTGTGATACAGCTCGGAACATGAAGTTCTATCCGCTGGCTCTCAAAGATGCCATGACCGAGTCCAAATTCAAGGTAATCGACGGGAAAGAAACGGAAGTGCCGCCGCCTCTGGCCTTCGCCTACGATACCTTCAGAGTTCAGCCATGCGTCGGCGACGTGAAATTTTTCAAGGACTGTTCCGTCTGGGATCTGCTGAACCTCAAGCCAGAAACGGTCCTCGGCTTGCCGGAGCAGTTGACGATGCAGTTTGGCATCTCGAGCGATTTCATCGCAGGTGCACTGAACGCGTACGACATCCAGACTGTTGGCAAGGACGCGTTTATCCAGAAGTACGACATACTGCAGCCGCACTATTTCGTTTCTCGCACGAAGCACTATTCGTGGCCCAAGGGCGCCGGTGCGTCCATACTCCCTGGTTGACGCGGATCTCTCTCACATGAGTGGGTCTTTGGAACAAACAGCTGTAGCGGGAATAGGTTCCGGGAACCTCATCGGCGTGGCCGTCGATCTGCAAGCCCGCCTGGACACCGAAGACCTGCGGAAGCGTCTCAACGCCTGTCTGAGCGAGAAGCGACCCGTGTACTGCGTCGTCGCGATCGCCGGCAGCACAGAGCACGGCGCTGTCGATCCGTTATCTGAGATCCTGCGTCTCAAATTCGAGTACCAGGAGAAAGGTTTGTCGTTCCTGGTCCACGTGGATGCTGCCTGGGGTGGCTACTTCGCCTCCATGAAGAGGTCCCCGCCAGTTTATAGGACGGATCCAGAAAATGCGTTTGTTGGTACCATACCGCTCTCGGATTATACCAACAAGCAGTTTCATTTATTCAAGCTGGCGGACTCTGTCACGATAGACCCGTACGTACCATTGTTACCTCCTTTGCAGCACGGCTCAACGTAGGGCAGACACAAATCCGGCTACGTCCCATATCCCGCCGGAGGCCTTGTGTACCGTGACGAACGCGCCAGGTTCCTCGTAACATGGACGAGTCCATACCTCGATGGACAACAGGGAGGTGTGGAAAGCATAGGTGTATACGGTCTTGAAGGAAGGTCGGTGCAGATCACATGGGGCAAGAACTCTTCTCTGAACAGTCATCTTAATACTTTGTAGTAAACCGGGCGCCGCGGCTGTGTCCACTTTCATGAGCAATGAGGTTATCGGACTGCATCCTTCCGAGGGCGGTTACCACACTTTGCTCGGGGAAGCGGTCTGGACGGCGACTAAGGTAAATATGGTTCTGTCGCTGCGTCGGTGTTTCTCATAGCTGTGTTCTTCGCAGATGTATTGCCATTGGGTGACTATGGACAGCGGCGCAGATGGGTTCAAGGTCACGCCTCTGCAGATGCTCCCGGCAGAGAAGGACGGAGGCGACGTCAAAAAGGAGAAGGAGAGGATTCGGGCAACCATTCTCAATCGACCGAACCTCGAGTTGGTCCAAGATCAGGAGGCTTACGAATTGCTCTGCCAATTGGGGTCTGACCTTATGATCAACACCTTCGCTTGCAATTTTCGCCTCGGAGACGAGCTCAATATGGATGTGGCCCAGGCAAACTACTTCAATCGGAGGATTTACGAGAAGCTTTCCATCCTCAAAGTGACGGATAACATGAACGAACGAGATATAATCCTCATGGCCACGAGTTTGTCTCAGGACGAGTATGGTGCATGTCTCACGAACTTGAAAACTAGGATGGGTGTCAAGGGGCCGGAGGACCTTTATGTCCTAGCCAATGTCTGCATGTCTCCTTTCCCCACAGCCCGTAACTTTGTTGGGAACTTGGCCGACGCATTCCAGAAGGTCGCCCAAGAAATCTCAGCAGTAAGCAGTTCCATTCGGCACCTTGGTACTTCATACTAACTTTGAGGAAGGACTGCCGTTGGCGCAACACGGTTTCGCCGGATCGCCACACTTTCTTGCTTCAAGGCACGGATCCCGTATACTTGGTCTATCTTCCGATGTTCGAGGCTGCCAATGCTAGGAAACGCGCGATTGTCAGAGCTCACCTCCCTAAGGACATTATGGACCTCTATATGGGAGCTCGCACAGACCCCACCAAGTTCTTCACCCTCACTACGAGTGAATCTGTCACCCTCGACTCCATCTTACGCTCCGGGGGGTCCTTTGATGCAGTGTTAGATCAAGGATACCCTGACTTGGTCCATCGCATTTGGCATCTCTCTTCAACGTTCACTGTCTCTGACATCACGGTCCTCGTCGAGGAGTCCTTGGAGGGGCAGCATCTTGATGCTAGCTATCCCAAAACAATGCCGTTCTACTTTTTTGGTACCCCGAAGGAAGCCCATATCGACCACTTACTCTTACGTGCACCAAATGTTCAGATTTGTGCGAGTGACGTGGAGTTTGACTTCGGGGCCGTTCAGAATGTGATCGAAGATATGCTGGGGCAAGGACTGGTCATCGTCATGAACGACGTGCCTGAATATGCCATGCAACCTTTCACGTCCAGTCATCACCCCGAGTTCTTTGAACCTAGTGCTCAACCGCAAACGTTTGCGGTGTCAGCATACGAAGTTGCTGCCAGGAGCAAAGATGGTCATGGTCTGGATGGAAGGCTGGGTAACAAGATTGGGGATGGCCACATCATCCTGAATGAACGAATCTACGTCGACTACAACTGCTTGAATGCCGACCCAACGGATCCCGCTCTTCACGGGCCCCATTCCATACTCAACAGGTTTGATCTCGAGATAGCGAGACTCTGGGACTCTTATCAACGCAAGATGGCTGTTCGCCGTGAATGGAGGGATGCATTCTTCAAGCATGTCAGGAGTGGCCCTCGCAGTGCGACACGAGGCAAGCATGGCGGCCAACCTGGCCCATCCCGTGACATGGACTAGGGGGTGTAGAGAAGCTGTACTAGTCACCAAAGTATGTCTCTGTGTATATTGTGTGTAACGGTACTTCTGTGCTGCAGATGTATGATCATCGTCATGTCATTCGAATAAACATGCCTCCTCGTGTGTGATCTCAGTGGGGCATTCATCAAGCTCGAGTGTACTTCTACATCTGAGACATCAAGTAAATTGCAATTGCATAGGGCATAGGTGGTAAATACAGACAGACTTCTAAGCGTACGTAACATGGATAAACTTGCGCAAGGCACCTCGGAGCAATCAGCAGACGAGAGCGCAATCACTGATGTAACGAAGAGAATACACTTCACAATGCATCATGGATAGCAAACGATGACAGCGATCCAACGGCCAGGGCTGCATGATTTAGGGTACGAGGCCCTACTCGGGAGAAATGATGATCGGGAGATGAGGACGAGAGACAGGGAATAGATAGGCAGGGCAGTAGGCCACTGCAGTGCGCGGGAGTGTGGGGCGATCAGTTTGAATATAAAGGATTGAAGTGCTCGGACTGTGTGACTTCGGGGGAGGGGGATAGATAGGCAGGGCAGTAGGCCTCTGCAGTGCGCGAGAACATAGAGTTTGAAATGTCGGAACTGCTGCGTCTAGGGGGGGAGGGATTGATAGGCAGGGCAGTAGGCCTCTGCAGTGCAGGGAGCTGGTCGGGCGATCCAGTAGGAACGCATAGAACGTGAGATGTCCGGACGCCTGGACTGCTGCTGCTCAGTGATGTCGAGGGGCCGTATTTATGGAGCAGTGGGTCCATCCAATGCTGAGAGGACGGCATGACGCGTCCAGTTGTGTGGCTCCGCGCGTGTTCGGATCTTGTGAAGCTCGGGAGGGGAGCGACCAAGAGGACGAACGAGTGGAGCGGGAGTGCCTCGGGGAGGGGTGTGGTAAGGGGTGCGAGGATAGCGATTAGGAAGCCGCAAGGAGAATCAAGCGGGGGTTGGTTACAGGGCACAACTTGGACAATGCGAAACAATCACGAGAAGAGTAGTAGAAGCCAGGAGCCGACTTGGAGAGGAGTTGATAGCAGGCAGGGTGGTTGAGATATTGAGAGCAATCGGCGACCTGATACCCGAGAGAGAAATAGCCCAACAGAGAAAGCAAGGGAAACCCGCAACAAGACATGTAGATGCAAGAAGAGACTTGACGAGAGGACTGGCAGCCAAATCAACAGAAGGAGTCGTCGTTGTCGTAAAATGCAGGAGTGCGTTTACGGCGATATTCGATATCCCACTGCGAGGGCGTCAACCCTTCGATCAGGTCCCATTGCAATAGGCGGGGCAGGCGCTCGGGTTTCTCCGATCGGCGCAAAAGTGTCGCGAAGATACCAGAGCGAGCACCTTCAAAGGGACCCTGTTCCACGAGAGGAGAGCGATAAGCAATCTCGGGGTAAGGGTCTTCATCGGAAGTGTACGGCTTTCCCAGAGGCAAAACGACTGCAAGATCGCCACCGTACGGAAGGTCACCGCATTGAGGAGGAATCACAGGGGCTCTGACCTTTCCCTTGGCCAGCTTACCCCAATTGCTGTAGAGCAGCGTCGTAAGAAGCTGTGTAGATCGATCGAGAAGTTCTCGCAACTTACATCGTCCTGAAGAAGGGCTTGCGCTTGAGATCACGAATAGTGGCTCGATCAAAAGGATCCTTCTCCGTCATCTGCGGCTTTTAATTAGTGTACGCAAGTCAAAGAATAGGGCCATCGACTCACGTTCTTCAGGACAACCTGAAGGTTCGGGCTGACTTTGTCTCGGGCATCGAAAACGACCGGCTCGCGCAAGACCTGGTTGAACAATACCATCCTATTCTTGTGGCCATCTTTCTCGCCTGCCCAAGGAAGCTAGGTGCGAGAAAGTTGAGCACGTTTCCGCATGACGGCGCAAAAAGTGGGACTTACCCTTCCACATCGCATTTGAAAGGCAGTAACACCCAAGGAGAAGATATCCGCATCGAAAGTGTATCCAGCCTGAGAGATCACCTCGGGGGCGGTGTACCCGTCGGTGCCAGCGTAGTCGTAGCAGTTGTACCGAGAAGGATCATCGAAGTTCTCATCGAACGAGTCGAATGTGGACGATAATTCAGATTGACGCATGACGGGGTTCCACGTAGCCTCGGTTGTGGGCTTCTGGAAGATGTGACAAAGCCCTAGGTCAGCGAGGACGGCATTCCCTTTGACGTCGATGAGGATGTTCGCAGGCTTGATATCCCGGTGGATGATCTTGTGCTTGTGGAGATGCTCAACGGCCAGCATCTTACGAGGAAAGCGTCAGCAAACATTCAGTACAGAAGTGCCGGAACGAGACACGTACCAACTGCGCAAGATAAACCTTAACGCGAGCCTCAGAGAAAGCACCAACCCTCTCCAACTCATGCTTCATATCGCCACCCGGGCAGTAGGTCTACCATTCCCATCAGCAACGCTCGGCGGAAACCCAGAACCACAATAAAAACTCACCGTCATCAACTGATAACCCCAGTCATCATGGCCAGACGCCTCGAGAGTCATCAAGAACGGGTGCACGCCGTACATCCTCGCCGCACGGAACTCGCGCATGAACATCTCGTGCGCCGCCTCATCGCCGCCGCAGCGTACCTTGGGGAGCACCTTCACCGCGGAGAGCCGCGTCGTCGCCTTGTTCTGGACGACGAAGACGACGCCGAAGGCTCCCTCGCCGATGCGCTTGAGCGTGTGGTACTCCTTCTCGAAGTCGACGGCCTGCTGGACGAGGGTCGTGTCCGAGCTATTGGCACCCTTGATGGTGATGTCGTTCTGGGAGTACTCTACGGAGGGCTTCTGCGTAAAGAGTCAGGCTAGGCAAATGGTAAGTGGAACTACTACGACGAACCTCGCCGGTGATGGAGTAGACACTGCCGTCCGTGAGCTGGACAGGCTTGGGAGAGTTCTTAACGAAGACGGAGCGGGGAGCCGCGATCTGAGCTCGCTTGGGGGTCACGATAATGGACATCCGGTCAGCGGTGTCCTTCTTCATCTTGAATTGCCAGACCGCAGCGTCAACTCAAGACATCGGACAAGTGTAAGACTAGATATCCTACCTCGATGCTGACTTGCCTGAAGGAGCCCTGGACGTTGAAGACCATGTCGGCTTTGACGTTCAGGACCTCGGGGGTAATGTAGGCGTTGTAGATAGACTCGAGCACCTCACGCTCGATGTCGGACATAGAGACAACGGGAACGGTCTTGACAACGGCGACCTCCTTTTCATCGCAGGGGAGAGCGGGGGCGGCCTAGTAGCATCATGTCAGCCACCAGATTCCCAGAGGGGAACGCAGCAATGGACGATTACCTTCGCCGCGGAGGGGGCCTTCTTCTTGAAGATGTTGAGGGTGAAACGCATGTTGATAGACGGCGGTCGTAAAAAGGATAATATGCGTGGGTGGGACTTGCTATTGCTTGACTCCTGACGCTGCACTGGTCGAGGAGAAGGCGTTAGGAAGTCGAGGGGGGGAAGTCCGTGCTGGACGACGGTCTATGTACTGGTTGTGATGAGGGTGATGGTGCGTCGATACAGAGGTGGGTGGGGAACTAGCTATTGCTTGACTCTCGACACTAGACAGGTCAAAGAGAAGGCGTTAGGTAGTCGAGGAGTGGTAGAGTAATGTGTGAGGTCTTGGTGTCGTGCGGTCGAGGTATGATGTGTGAGGCTGACTAGGTATTGCTTGACTCTTGACACTAGACTGGTCTCGGAGAAGGCGTTAAATAGTCGAGGCGGATGCGCGCGAAGGGGCGTAAGTGTAGTAGCGAAGATGAGTTGGCGACTGCTGTGTAGCTTGACTCTTCAAAGATAGATGATCGAGGAGAGGGCGTAAGGCGGTCGATGCGTATCGGTGAAGGATTGGCGGGTCGTAGAGTTGAAGTCGATGGCTTCCTGGTGGATAGTCGACGAAGGCGAGGGGGAGCTTGACTCTTGAGGACCCGGATGGGAATGCGAGGGAACGCGCCGATGGACTTCCTCGAGCAGGGGGGGGTTCGACTATATACCCAAAGCACCCAGAGATCGCCGGGAGCGTCAATCGAGGTGCTGACATCCGAGCGCACTGAGACATGGGAGAAGCAGGAGTATTGGGATGTGAGCTGAAAGGTCCCGCTCATCGAGCGAGGCCTTCAGCTCGAATCCCAATACTTGCTCATTTCTCGGAAGTTGAAGCCACGGTATCTCAGTCTTCTGCGGCTTGTGTAAGTCGCCTCGATGAAAATGCCCGAGAGATCGTCGGGAACGTCAATAGAGTTGCTGATATCCGGACTTGGAGACATGGCGAGAGTGTCAATATTGCCATACGAGCCGAAAGCCAGCAACCCCCCCTCCCCCGGCTAGGCGCGTGCTTTCAGCCCACATCGCAATACTCACTCGTCGTGTGTGGGCTGTCAGCCGCAGTGGCCCTATCGTCCATAGTTCATGCCGCGTCGATGGAGTGGATGATGACACTGGATATACCATTAAATGCTAGAGTACATGTAGAAGATTTTGACTTCCGCGCGAAGGATCAGTCCCTGCCGTACATGTCAACGAAACTGGAGCAGAGGTCGCAGAGAGAGCATACCAAATACAATACATTTATCTTTCCTTGCTTCACTTCCTCGCACTTATTCGACATTTTCCAAAAAACCGACCCCACCCGCCTTCACCTTCCCAATGAACGCCTCGTACCACCTCGCAATCACGCCCATCGGCACCGCACTCTCGGGCGTGATCCCCGTCCCGCCCACGAACCCACTCACATAATTAAACAAGTGCTTCACGATCCTCTCCGCCAGCAACGTCGGATCGCTCAGCGGGCTCACCTGCGGCTTCGCGAGCGCGGCGGGCAGCGTGGCCATCTGCGCCATGATGGAGGGGAGGGGCTCGATCGCGAGGCCCAGCACGGCCGTCACGTCGGCGGGGACCTGCGAGGGGTCGATGCCGATGGTGGGCGTCGAGGTGCCGGAGGAGAAGGCGGAGTGGGCTTGCGAGGTGCTGCTTTGCGGAGCGAAGGTGCCCCGGAGGCGGAATATCGCTGAGGGCTTTTCGTTCGACAGCCTGCGCGGAACGTTCTTGGAATCCCCGCTCTATAAAATATACGAGTACACTTCAAACACTTACATCCCGAGCAACTGGAAGCCCTTCCCGGGCCAGTAGAAGTGCACGCTCGCCCCGTACCCATCAGGGAAAGGGACTACAGAATCATAATCAATTCCCTTCAATACGTCCACACTATAGTAGCACATCGCAACGTACCAGTTCCCAGCAAGAATACACATATATGATTTATGCTCCCCGCATTGGGCAGCTCAAACATCGCATGCGTCTCATCGATCTGCTGCAGATTCGTCTGCATGAGACGGCCGGCAACGCAGCACCCAAACATCGTTCAAACCTAGCAGTGGGTCGGGAAGTTTTAAGGCAAGAGGGGGCGGGTGCGGTGAGACAAGTGAGAAAGGAGGAGCTGGGCCATGGCGGAGACGCAGAAGTAGTGCTTGTCTGGTGGCGCCGACGTCGACTCGGACAAAGGACAACGGCCTTGCTGCACCGAGAATATTCCCGCGGATTCTATACCCTGTCAGTATCAAGCAGGCAATTCTCCGTATTGTAGGCTGGGTACACCTCCATCAGATGTAAATTGGTAGACGAACAGCAACCGGTCGACGACCAGCGGGAACAGGACGAGGGATACAACGCGCTTAGCATTAATCCATAAACCCATAAAGATTCAGTGAAGCATCAAGGGGTCGACATTACGGTCACGAATCCAACGTCCGCGGATGCAACGCAATAACCAACGCGCAATTAACCGCGCCCTCCCCTCCCTCTCCCCCGTTCTTCAGCTTCAGCCACCTCCCAAACCGCATCTCCTGCCCGACACCCGCCACGAGCAACAAGCTGCCCACGTCGCTCGCCTTACTCTTCTTCACCCCGTTGACCCCATTCCCGTTTGGTAATCGGACATCCTCCTGTTTCGCCCAGGGAATATTGTCGACGGCACCCTTCGGGGGGGAGATGATCTGCAAAGAGTTGATGATGCCCGGTGCGGGAACGGTCCCCACCAGTGAAAAGGACTTGAGCTTCTGGTCGAGCTTCCATATTCGAATGGAGCCCTCCCATGAGCCTACACCGGTCAATTAGTTCACCAAGGGATAAGGAAGATAAAAGAGAGTTAACGTACCCGAGGCAAACAAATCCGAATAACGCAGAGCTGCGATGGAGGTCACCCACCGTGGCGTCTGTATCAGCCCCTCCGTCTCCGAGTGCGTCTCGTGCAGCCCATGCGCGAGCGCCTGCGTAAACACTGGCTTCTTTTTCTGGGTCGTCCACAAGCAGATCGACCTAGCATACCAGAGTCGTTCAGGATCAGTACCCCATGTACAAACCACACCAACGTACCCGCTATCCCCCCCACTCACAAACGTGCTCTCATCCAGCATCGCCACGCACTCCACACTCCCCTCCACATACCTCTGCTCCCTCTCCTTCCTCCTCTGCCCCTCCTCCTCCCCGTCCTCGTCCAGCCCCTCGAGCGCCCCGCCCTCGAGCACCTCCCGGACCTTACTCCGCCCTCCCCCGCGGAAGACGAGCTGCGTCTGGTCGACGATCTTCCAGAAGCGCACGGTGCGGTCGCGCCCGCCGACGCTCACCGCCGTCTCGCCCTTCAGCGCGTCCACCGCCTGGATGCAGTCCTGGTGCCCGAAGAGCGTCTCGACGTAGCCCATCACGGAGAGGTCGAAGAGTTTCAACGTGCGGTCGAAGGAGGCAGAGTAGAGTTGCTGGGTGTTCTTTCGGAACGTTAGACCCTACAGGAGAGTGAGCATGCTCGGTCGATCGCGGAGGGAAATGGAATGGGCGGAACTCACGGATATGAGATCCTTGTGTCCGCCAAACGCCTTCACCCACTCCCCCTGCTCGGCGTCCCAGACGACCACTTTCCGGTCTTTCCCCCCGCTAGCCAGGTACTTCCCGTCTGTACTAAGCGCAAGCGCGAGCACCTCGTCCGTGTGCCCCTTCACCTCACCCGCTTTCTCCTTCCCCTTACCCTCTTTCCGTACCTTGTGGAACACCGCGAGCTTTTTGCCCGTGGGCAGATCCCATTTAATGATAGATCCCTCCTTTCCCGCTGTAAAGAGGAATCGGGCGTCCTCAGACGCGACAGCGGAAGTAACGGAGAGTCGGTGTCCGCGCGTGCGCAGAGTAGTTGTAGGCAGCGTGCTGAAATCAAACTTGTCACAAAATTAAGACATATACACCCTCCAGAACCCGTCCGGGGCTCCGTAACAATTTCCAGCGACTACAAGACACTCACCTCATCTGCAACCCACAGCCACACTTTCCCCTTCTCCTCCAGCACGTCCTTCTTCAGCCGCTCGCTGATCAGCTCGCGGTCGATCTCCGCCGCATCAAACTCGTCCTCGCCCCTCTTCAGCCCCTCCTTCACGCTCTCCAAGTACAGCTTCGCCAGCCTCAGCCGCTTCTCCGCGGGCGTCTCGTTCTCCAGCTCGTCCCCGCTCCCCTCCTCCACGTCCTCCGCGCGCAGGTCCATATCGTCGATCCCGACATCCGACCCGGTCCCGGAGGAGAGCTCCTCATCCCTCGTCGCCCGCGGTTTTGGCTTAGCTTTTGAGGAGGAAGGGGACTTGCTATTGCTTGTGGATGATTTGGGCTTGCCGTTGGCGGTGCGCGCGAATTTTTTGGGTGCGTCGGATGTTGTCGCGCGCTTTCGCTTTCTGGGCTTTTGGGTGGCGAAGAATGAGTCCGGCATCGTGGATAATGAGGGATGTAACGGGAGCTCAGTGAATACGGGACTTCGCAGGTGAGGTAACCTCAAAAAATTGGACTTCGCGATCTTAGAGGCACGATCACGTGATATTACCGCCGAGGACCCAGAGTACCGCACCTTGGCTTCGTCTGCAAATCTATCTGGCCGAGGCATTTATGCTCAGCGACGGGCAAGAGCAGTAAGTGTTTGATATACATTGGATGTCAGTTCAGACCGTGTTATCAATTACTCGTCCATGTATTACTGCGCCGTTTATAAGTCACGTCGAGCCTGGATTAAGCCTTGGGTGAGATGATACTTGAATTACCAAGCTTTGATAAGGCTTGTTAGTGGTTGTTAAAAGGTCTTTAGTTAAGCATCAGGGAGGAAATGCAGTCGTTCCATCGCACGTAGAGGATACGAAGGGTCGGATGTTGAGATGGATCCGGATTTGGTAATGCCTCTGTCATATATGGACGGGTCGTCCTCCATATGGCAATCCTCGTTCGAAGCGTGAAGAGGACAATCGGAGCTCTGTAACAAGACTCGGAGAGAATTACACTGAAGTAGCTTTAGGTGTAAGAACAAGGAAAAGCTGAAATAAGGCCAGAGTATCACCAGCGATGGTTGAAGGAACTTCAGAATCACAAGCTCGATGGGTACCTCGGGTCCGCAACGGCCTGGTTCAGTGAGTCGTGAGTCGTGAGTGACCTCTACTTAGACTTTATTCAACCGTGGTGTTCCAATACCTATCGTACTGGATAAGCATACGGCAATCCACTTCTGTACAGTACCATGAAGGTGACAAAGGCTCAGGTATACCACTGATACGTCCACAGGGAGAACTCCTCGGTCAAGATCAAAAGTTGGTGCCAGGTGTTAAATTCCCGTCGCTCGATGTAAGTCAACAGAGTTGATCAGAGTTACACTGTATGGTGCTTATCAAGCGTTTTCTACATATGTATACCCTCGTATACCACGCCCCGTTGAACGAGTCACTCATGACAATTCTCTCGCGCACGAATAGCGCCCGAAGATATTCACCGTGAGTCGGTGTACGCTATTCGTATCGCGACTGCAGACAAGTCCCAGTCGTCTGTGCGCAGTCGCGATACGAATACCGATACATCATACCGGTGGTTTAGTGCGGATGTCAGCAACCCGATCACTTTCAGCTTTGGATCGAGTTGCTGACATCCAAGGGTGGAAAGGTATTTAATTTGCTTCGACTTAAGACCAACTACCAAGTACGCCCTTCACTTCAAGTCCCTCAAGAGTCAGCAACGCAGCGCCCCCTATCCGATATTATCGTCTTCGTACCCTCAACCATAATGTTCTTCACCATCAAGGTCAACTTCTTCAAGCCTCGCAAGCACAAGCCTGCTCAGGTATGCGCACTGCTCTCTCTAACCATTGTGACGCGTGGCTGACACTGCTAAGATTGCTCCGCCTCCCGCCCTGATGGAGGTCGCCCAATCTGACGATGACGACAAGCAATTGGCCATTGTACGTTGTACATTCTCTACAGCTGTAACACGCCCTGACAGATGCCCAAGATACCCGCGGGTCGCTCGGACTCGGAATCGGACCCGAACCCTGAGTTCGAAGTCCTGGAGGCCATCTATAAGGCCCAAATCAACCCTGAAGTTCTCAATGTCCATTCTGATATGTTTCTCCACCTTAACCGCACCTTGAGACGTGCCACTCAGAAGGTACCATGGAACATCCTTCAATACAATATCCGGTGGCTAACGTTCATGAATACAGATCAACCAGGGAGCCTCCTGGGGCATTACTCGTATCTCCATTGCGTCCAGCGAAGAGTCCTACGGTGAACTGATCGTCACGACCCCGGCGCCATTGCGCATCGCGAACGAAACTCCCAGCTCTTCCGAGCGTCCTCTCGCCATCACCTCTGGTTTGATCGAGTCAGCCGCCGCCGAGACCCCTGAATCTGTGCGCTTTGCGGATGCCGCGACGACCTCCCCCGCCTCTTCAAATGGTTCCACCGACGATGTCTCCGAGGCCGTCATCATGGCAAGGCCTGCCCCTCTTCGCAGGGCCAATGGTCGCACGACATCTTTCCTGCTACTTGATGAACCATCCCGCGAGGATTTATTCGAGTCGATGTTCGGGGAGAGACACACCCAGATGCCCCTTATCAGCGGCCCCTCCATCTCCTTCGGGTCTTCCATGCTCTCGAGCGACGAGTTATACGAGTCGTTGGTCGTTCATACGCCTACTCCACTGCGTTTTATGGACGGGACGGTGAGGCCGCTGTGGTCCGCTGATTCTTCCAGGAACGACTCCCCTGAGGCTTCCGGTCCGAGGCGTCAGCCTCTGGCTATCATGAACGACTCTATGTCGAGCTTTGGTCCTATGAATGGTGCGAGCATGGACTCTTACGAGTCCATCGCTCCTCGTCAGCCCCTCCGTGTTGTCAACGGGGATGCTTCAACTGTCAGTACTTTAGAGGAAGAGGTCCGTTCTCCGTCATTTTCTTTAGCGGGATCTCGTCATTCATTCACTCACACATCACCCCAGCTTCCCTCTTCCTTCCTCTCGGCCGACACCACGCACGTCGCCAGCCAGTCCACAACCACCCCGACCTCAGACCCTCCCGTTGAGCTCACCAAGGACTACGATGCGGTCAAGAAGCTCGGTGCGGGCACCTTTGGCACCGTCTACTGCGTTCGCAACAAGGCCACCACGAAGCTCTCCGCGGTGAAGATTATCCCCAAGCAGCTCACGTGCGAGGACGGGTCGACGCGGCCTAGTCTCCCGCTGTTCGTCAAGGAGCAGGAGGCGGCGAAGATCGTCGGGGACCATCCGTATGTAATTAGGCTGGAGGCGAGTTGGCATGATAAGGATAATTTCTATTTGATGACGGTGCGTGCTCCTAGCTTCAGTCCACTGTTTGAGCTGGAGGTTGATTGTACCACTATAGCCTTTCTATCCAGGGGGCGATCTGGGAATGCATATTAAGAGATTCGGCCGGTTCACTGAAGAGCGCGTCCGTTTTTATATGGGGCAACTGGTAAGAGCAGCCTGTCCTTCTTTCCATACACGCGGTTACATCGTTCTCTAGGCCCTTGCCATCGAGCACCTCCACGACCACAAAATCATTCACCGCGACATTAAGCCCGACAACATCCTCCTGGACGCCAAGGGAAACGCGGTTCTCGCTGACGTCGGCGTCTGCCACACGTTCAAGCACAAACTCACCGTGCACGTTAAGGATCAGGACCCCGACGCGACCCTCCGGGTGCAGCAGCCGTACTGGCTCTCCAGCCTCAAGTGGAAGAAGGGCCAGCAGCTGTCATCCTCTACTCTGTCTTCTTCGGAGAACCCGGGTTACGATCCATCCTGTATGTGCTACGAGGCTTATGGCTCCGAGGCGTACATGGCGCCGGAGATGCTTGCCGGCAATGGGTACAGTTTCAACGTGGATATCTGGGCTCTAGGAGTGAGCGCGTTCGAGATGCGCTGCGGCAGGGTGAGTTTATCATACTTCATTTTCTGCGTGACCTAAACTTGGCCGTCGTAGCTGCCGTGGCAAGGTAACAAGGATGGCTCGTTCTGCTCGGCAGACGCGACCTATCAGGTTATCCACGATCCGTTGGAGTTCGAAGAACGTGATAACATTTCTTTCGATTTCCAGTCTATATTGAATAAGGTCCGCGCGAACGTACTCGTTACCCCCAGCGACTCACTGACAGTGAGAGTCCAGATGCTTACGAAGAAGCCTCACTTCCGGGCTACAATCCCGGAGTTGAAGAATCACCGTTTCCTGAGGAACATGTAAGTCCGCATTCAACTCTCGTCTAGGGTCATCGCTCATTTGTTTCTTCACAGGAACTGGAAGAAGCTGGCGCAGGGCAAGGCAAAAGCGCCGTATGTCCCTGCACAGTGCACATCTCTCCCCCGGAACTACCGCTACATCCCCCTTCCTCTCGGGGACGCCTTCTCTCCCGCCGAGGACCCCAACCCCGAGCTGAACTTCCGCTCCCCCAGGCTGGTCGACGCGGCGCCGCTCGTTGCTTCGTCGTCCTCTGACAGCATGGGTGGGCTGAACGCTACAGCCTTCAGGTGGATCGTCAGCAGGCTCTTGGCTCCCAAACCCAAGCGCAAGCCCGCGCCGCAGTGTGTAAGCCATCCATGGAACACGGGCGCCGCTCCTTCGCCTTCGCGGGACTTGTGCGACGTCACTGGACCCTCGGCGCCTGTTGACGCCACTTTGGCGGCTTGAAGGGAGCGCGAGCTCTCTTCATTGCTACCACTCTGACGACCTTTACGACCTCTCATGACACTTTACGACCTTTCATGACATATACCCCCTCTTGCTTGTCTTCCTCTTGGCTGCTGTGTTCTTCGTCCTGGATATCTCGTACCCATGCTCTGTTGTCTCCTGCCTTCGAGCGCTTCGTTATTGCTGCTGAAGAGACCGTTGTCGTCCTGTCGTCGTCAAACCCGGAGTCGTCCGGAACTCATGCCTCATATTGCTATTGTCAGATTGCTTTCGTTCTTGCTATCGCAACCCCTCCCCCTCGCTCAACCTCCCTATCGCCCACACCTCAGCATATCGCCTCGACTCCAAGTACCTCCCTTGGCTTGCTGCCGAGGACGACACTATCTCCCTACCCCCAGCCGGCCCCAAATGGAGCTCTGCATACAGTTAAGGCGTTTTGCTTCTCCACGCCGTCAAAATCAAATACCCCAAGTATTGCAACAGCCGCAAGAGAATCACCCTCTCATCCTTCTTCGCAAAACAGAGGCGCCACAAAGTGTCGCTATCGCCTGTCGCCCCCCGCATGTTCAAAATAAACTACCCCATGTTCTCGGTGACAATTACGCTCGTATTTTCTGTCCTGTATCGTTAGTAAGTCCCAATGGGACGCAGTGTGTCCGGTCTCCTTCTTTAAGCTTGGATCGATTTCATGACATGTTGTTTGTATAGCATTCTCAGAGCGCATACGCAGTTATATCGTACCAGCACATTGTATCTACCAGTTGTCGCATAGTCGTATATATTAACATTATCCTGCTTTTGTGGACTCGAGTTACGGTGTCGGTAATTATCAGGTTATGACAATCATCGACATCGTGCGCGCCCTGTCGCGCCGCCTGCAGAGCACGTGGCTTTGTGACAGCGTCGCTCGGGAGGCCAAATATGGTATTCCCGACTCTGCCACAGACGCGTCGCGTTCTAACATTGTGCGCCACCGTAGCCTTTCGTGCAGCTGCCATCATAGGCTTCCAGTAGGGTGCTGCTGTGCTGGGTCCGTCTAGAGGCCCTTGAAAATTTCCAGATTGTCCAGCACCACTGGCAGTGTCCTCCGACTTTCTCAGTCAAACCTAACGTGCGGTATACGAGAACAAACTGTAGGATCAATTGGTCGAAGTCATTTTTGACAGTTCAGAATCATGATGAGATATACGCAGTGATACACACTACTTCCGCTCTTCTCGTGCTCCCCCTCTTGAGTCGTAAGGATCAGCAAATGAATAGCATGATTTTACAGGTGCACAACACTTCAACGACAAGAGAAGATACTATACAGGATGAACAAATCATGAACTAGACAGATGCAACCTGCCCGCCATGTTCCAGACCTCTGCACAGGTCCTGTTAGCGACTTGATAAACGGACCCCTGAACATGTAGATAACCCTCTGCACGAAGGCGCCTCTTGATTTGCGAGTAGATCGTCGCTGAAAGTGGCATATATCAACACAAGAGTGCCTTCATCTGACTACGGCGGTATACTGACCTCGGTGGCAAGCCCAAACGTAAGGCGGGTCATCACCGACTTCGTGAGTGTCCAGATCGAATGAGATACCATACATGATCCGGGGTGATTGAGGCAACTGCAGAACACGATTCCCGGGAGGGAAAGGTCTAAAGGCCTATGTATTAGGGTCCATCGGACGTGTCGTTCGCCATGTCGGTTGCGCTTAAGGCTCTGTTTTAAGTATGCTGCACAGAGAATCAGCTTCTTGGGTGCTCTGTGCCTTCATGAGCCCTGGGGCACACGGTATGAAGATGGACTACCATTTGGACGCATACGATGGTCTGTCAGTGGGAAAATACCGACATATTGAAGGGAACGTCGTTGGCATTTGCCGGCCGACATGTCGACACTGGGCTCCGCCAGACTCCGCATGGCTTCGATGGGCCCATTTCTCGAAAATCATCAGTCTGGCCATGTCGGAGAGGGAAATTCAAGTCCCCAAGACCCCAATATCAGATCACTTGGACTTCTTTTAGTTTTTGGGACGTCCCTGGCACCATATCCGACTATACGTGACTTTCTGATTCCGGCGCTTGCACTGTCCTAGACTCCTCGTCAAGTCCCCGTACTGTCCCCGTACTGTCTCATCGCCCCGAGACACCAGCGGCAGCGCTATCGTTCACGGCCACTCTTCCACCTGCCTTATAAGGACGGCAATTACGGTCGTGATTTCATACATTGTTGCTCGAGAAAGGTATGTTGCTGCTCGGGGATTCAGCTATAGTCTGTACACTCGACGCATGTCGCCAGTCTCGCAGCCATGTCAACGCGCAAGACTCGCCGGTTTACGCCGGAACATGAGGCGATCATTGATAGGATGTTTAAGTGGGATGTGGCCTACAAGCTGCACCCCTTCTACCATGCCAAGTACCGAACGACCAACGCGGTAAGCAAAGCGGCGCACGCTAAAGCCCTAGAGCTCTTGAAGGTCACCGAGCCCTACAAGATATGGGCGACTCCCCAAGCGAATCCCGACTGCGTTATTGGTCCTGAATACTTCGACGTAGCAGATCACGCGGCGAGTAAACCTCCAGCTGAGGTTAGGGATCCCGTTGAGTGAGTCGCACTTCTTTTCATATCGCCTAGAAATTGACAATGATGCCCGCACAGACGGTGGCTCATCGTCATCGTTTTGGATATGGCTATTCAATGCTATGAGCATCTGTCTCTTCGCCCCCGATGGGAGCACCTGACCACCGAAGCCCAAAACAGGGCGTGAGTGCAACACCCGCCTCATACAATCCCTTAAGTTGATAGTCGCCTTGTTTCTCAGTCGGGCCTACGTGAAGGCGCAAGATATGTTTGACACAACTCGCTTCTTCGAACGTTCAGTGTCCCCGGGCCCTTCTGACCCAGAGCAACTAGCGCGGTCTGTGGGACCGCACCTGTTCCTATGTCGCATCCAACTCAAGGACGGCAGCACGTCTGATGTGCTTGATCATCTTGCAAGTTCGGTGGGCCGCTCGCGGTACGTCCTTCGCCCCGTTGGGTCAGAGACCACCATCGAGATGGAGGAGTCGGAATTGGAGGATAGGTTCGAAGCGGTTCTTTCCGAGATCTAGGATAGGTTGTCATACGCATTGCATAGCTTGTCTACTCTCGCTTTCGTTGCGGTCATTGTTTCAGAGGTGTTCAATGCCACATTGTTGTCCTTCATTACTATCTGATTGATTGGCAATCTTTCGCTCCACTTTTTTGATGTACGAAAGCTACTTCTTCAACGAGTTCTACGATTTCAAGGTGGCCCATATGTATCTCGCCGACAAAAGCGAGACATTGAAAGCCCCCGGACCTCTTGCACCCAGGATCTGCCAGACGCGTTCTGGACGCGATCGGTCACTTGTCACACTGTGTGATGAGCTGAAACGAGCCCGCTGATCCTTCATCGCCACCGAATGAATACTTTCCCCGCCAGTCTCAGAAAGTCGCGCCCGCTGGCAGCTGGGCTACGTAGCCCTGTAGCCCGTAGCCCGTAGCCCTGGCAAAGCCCGGGCTATCGACATTTCGTAGCCCTGTAGCCCCAATGTAGCCCTGCGCTGGCGTGGCTGGCTTGTGGCCCGCCTGGCTGCTCGTCTCCGATGGAGCCGCCGAGAGCTCCGAAGCTCACGCCGGGGAACTTGTCTAAAATAGGTTGCTGTGGCAGGTATAAAGCCTGGTCTCCTCCTCCCTTCTTCCCCTCCCGCCCGAGCATACGTTTATGTACTTGTGTTATGCCATTATAATAATTCTGAATGCACCCCATATGCACTAAGTTAGAAATCATGGCAATAACTGCCAGCTCAAAACAGACTCAATGCTTAGCCTACACAGAAAGGTCGGGCAGTGCATTAAGACATCCCCGGTAGGCTGCGGCTGTCATTCAAGTTGGAATACGCTTATCGACCGTTCTCGGGTTCCCTTGACCGCAGGAGGGGGCTTGTGAAGTGTTTATATTGCGTGCTGTTATGCAGATACCATCCCGACAACAGCACAAAGCACCGAAAATACTGCATATGACCATTCTTCCCGAGTACACGTGTAGCGCTCGCCGCTTTGGCTCTTGCGAGCATATCCCGCCTTCCGACTGACATACTGTACAGTACCCACCTGCAATTTTACGGCACAATGTTCCACTAAAAAAAGCCTAGAGGTCGCAGTCCACATGCGCGCGACACGCGTAGCATCGTGGCCGCGCGCGGCCCATCATACTTATGATCAGACTGTATTGCCATCACTATGTACACTGCACACTAAGTACTGTACGTCTACGAGAGAACGGGGGGCATTAGCGTTGCACCGCAAGCAGAGAGTATATATACGCTTCGGAGGTCGACTCCCTCCAAGGCATCACGTAGCCCGGGGCTACCGACCGGCCGATTCCTGCCCGCGTAGCCCTGTAGCCCAGCTCGACTCGAGCACAACAATCGGTAGCCCGGGGCTACGAAATGGTAGCCCGTAGCCCTGTAGCCTTTGATTTGGGCTGAGGGCTACGGGCTACAGGGCTACGTAGCCCACCAGCCAACGCGCGCGACGTTCTCGCCAGTCTTATTCCCTGTTTAAGGCCTGAAGGGCAGAGATCTCGGCGGGGCTCTCAAAGCAACTGGGCTTATAATTTTCTATCACCTTGACCTGACACATTGCAGCAATATTAATATGGCCCCGAAACCGCGAGGACCTCGCAAGTTCAGTGCCGAGCAGGAGGCGATAATTGATAGGATATTCAAGTGGGATTTGGCGTACAAGACACATACCTACTACCATGCCAAGTACCGAACGACCAACGCAGTCAACAAAGCGGCGCATGCTGAAGCCCTAGAGCTATTGAAGGTCACCGAGCCCTACAAGATATGGGCCAATCCCCAAACGAATTCCGACCGTGTTATTGGTCCCGAATACTTTGATGTAGCAGACTACGCTGCTAGTCACCCTCCAGCTGATGTTAGGGATCCCGTTGAGTGAGTCGCATTCTTTTTCATATCGCCTAGAAATTGACAATGATGCCGGCACAGACGGTGGCTCATCGTCATCGTTTTGGATATGGCTATCCAATGCTACGAGGAGTCGTCTGGTCGCGACGGATGGGAATTTCTAACTACCGAAGCCAAAAATAGGGCGTGCGTGTCTTACCCTCATTTTGCGATCGATTCCGTTGACTGTAGTCTTACTTTATAGTCGGGACTTACTTATGGCGCAAGATATGTTCGATACAACTCGCTTCTTCGACCGTTCGGTGTCCCCGGCCTCCCCTGACCCAGAGCAATCAGCGCGGTCGACTTCTTCTGTAGGGCCACATTTGCTCCTGTGTCATATCCGTCTCAAGGACGGTGAGGTATACGAGGTCGCCGACCACATTCATAGCGCCATGAATGGCGATTCATACGAGCTGCGACTTCTTGGGTCAGATGTGACAAAGAGGGTGGACGTGGATGACCTCGAGGAACAGCTTGTACAAGTTGTTTACGATGAAGAGGATGATGCTTCAATTTAGACTGCCCGGAAGGTTCACAGCACTTCCCTTCTGTCGGCGTCATGCTCCGAATCGTGACTAGCCCTTATACATTGGCATTCTTGGAGTTGTTACGTACGTTGTCAGTTACCCAATCTCGCGCATCATCGCAAGACTCATGTACATACTTAGCGAATATACATTGGACTGAGAATCTCGTCTTTCCATTTTTACATTTACGCCACAAGCGCGTCTTAGGCCAAAAGCGCTCAGCCACAGACGCGTTTCGCAAATTCAGGCTATCAGCATCCCCACAGCCACAGACCGCGTTATGCACGTGATCTGTCACAAGTCACCCACCATGACATCCTGAATCGGAACTGCGGCTCCATGCAGAAACACGTCCGCACGGCCGTCAGGACAGGTACCGCCGACTCGGTCGACAGACGGACAACAGGCTCTAGTTCCTATCTCGTGTATGGCGCACCGTGTGGTACAGGGATATCTCTCTAAGAAATGCGACAGCCACACCGCGTGCTTCAGGTCATGCACTCCATTTTGTACAACCCACGCTCGGATTTTTTAATATTCTTGTATAACGTACGGTACACTAAGTCTTCTTGGACGAACAGCAAGAGCCCCCGGCGGATGGAGCACCAGCGGACGAAGAAGAGTATGCACCTGGCAGCGTGGTCCACTATCAGACACTATTCAGGCAAATGACCTATCGAAGGACTCACTTTGATACGACGTCGACCGCCCGAACTGCGAGGTGCTCGAGGAACTGGACCTCCGCGCCGCACCCAGGCTCGTGAACTGCGATCCCGGACCGCGAATTGCATCACCACCACCCTGCCCCTGCCTAAGCTGATGCCCGGAACCGCAAGCACATGCACCCCTCTCCCCCGAGACAGCAAACGTCAGCCCCCTTGCGCCCTCCTGTTCGTGATTGCAGTGGTCGCATGAGCAGCCCTGGCAGCAGCCACAGCAGTCCGGAGGACAATTGCAGCGGCCCACGGCGCATTTGCACTGGCCGCCGCAGCACTCACTAGTATTTTCATTCATAGCGCCCGTAGTCCTCGACCCTGCATAATTCGGCCAAGCCTGTCCGGCCATATACCCTTGCATCACAGCAGGGGGAAGCTGCTGGGAGGTTGCCATAGGGTGAGATGCAGACGCCTGCGGACCGCCGCCCATCAAGTCCGGGATACGAGCCAAAAGCTCTTCCGCCAGCTGGAATGACTGCTGATCACTGAACTCGGGCGACGCGGCTTCATACGGCAGGGACAGGATGCTGCAGGACAAGCACGAGGAGCATGAGTTTTGGTTCGTGCAGGTCTGGAAGGAGGTGAAGCCAGCCGCGGCAGGCCCACGGTGTTCGAGACAGCCAGGGCAAGAGCAGCTGTCTCCACAATTGCACAGTGGGAAGGATTCGTCGGTGGGAGAGGGCCATACTGGAGGCAGGAGCGGAGGCTGGCTAGACGCGTTTTGCATTGGATGGGACGCCGGCGAACTAGTGAACAATTGGTATAGATGTGGCGGGACAGTGTTTTGGCCCTGAGCGACACCAGTGCCTATGGTAGGCCTGGCTGTCGCCAGGGTAGTGCGATCCTGGGTGTGAATTTGTTCATACGCGCGTCCGTAAGGGCTATAAAACATAGAGCTATGGGTGGGATGCCGAGGCGGATGATTCGCGGGGATGACAGAGGAGGGTTGGGAGCTCGTTCCCAGCGATGTTCCTGGAGTGGGCCGCGGAAGTACAGGACGAAAATGAGGCTGGTTCAAGCCCTCAGGCAGACGATGGGCAGCACCTCCTGAACTGCCGGCGCTACCTTCCCGGGTCGTCGTCGAGCCCTTGCGAGTCTTCCCAGTTGATCTCGGTGTAGCGCAGTGACAAGGACCTCCAGACTTGCATTCACATGTATCGCAAGTTCCTACGCAAAAGGTCAACTTCGCGTGCCAAAGAGGGTACCAGATACGCACCTCCATGCTCCGAGTCTGATGACGCCTCCGAGGTGAGCTGCGCAGCCACCGCGGCCTCCAGTTCTGGGGGCAAACCAGTCGGGAAGGCGGCCGAAGCCGGAACCTTCTTACTGCCTGAAACCGAGAGGAAAAGATGGGAAATGGTCTTATTTGTGAGCTCCTTGACGCAGCCAGGTATGTTAGCGAACTCACCTTTCCTGCTGCCCGAGGCCTCTCCCGCGTCGTCCTCTCTGGACTCGCATATACATTTGACGTGCACTTGTTTTGTTTTGCGGAGCTCTCTGCAGTGTTCGCATTGTGTTACAGGCCGCCCTTTCCTCTTGATCTCGAATAGGGGTCGATCGGTGTGCTTGCATGCGGACGAGCGATGCCCCTTAATGCACGTCTCACTAGGGCTGGTCAGACAGCAGAACACAGGACATACATACAGCCAACATACCAGGCATATTTCTTTCCGTCGACCACAACCTGGACGGTGGCGGTAGACATTAGGTTCGCTGAGAAAGGCAAGGTGGAACCTGAGAAATAGCTCGCTCACCATCATGTGCTCTTCAGCCGCCGCTTTAGATATGACGAATGAATTCCTCCCCTTAATATAACACTTAATCGACTTCACGTTCGCAAATCCTCGCAGTCGACTCGACGGGCGACAAAAAATCGAGACGGAGAGCAAAGTCGGGCAAATGTGGCAAATAATCAGCAAAAGCACGTCGCGGACGTTTCGAACCGCCCACGACGCTCAGAGAGCGTGTGTTATTGCGACGAGACTCGATGCAAGCGGACGTCGAATACAGGTGTCACCAACATGAGTAGAGGGGGTTTATGGTGTTGAGGGAGCGCTCCTAGGCTAGCAGAACCGCCTTAAATGTCGGATCGGGCACCGATGGCAACAACTGTAAACAAGTACGTATAAGTCCACTCTAGCCGGGAGGCAATATCGCCATTAGCCCTCATGAGGGGGGGCATATGCCTGCTCCGACATCTTCCAGCGCGTCGCACGGAAACGTTGCGAGGTGCTATCTATAATATTCGGCGGAGGCAGGATGAGGAGGCAGTACAGCTAAGCGGCGCAGACACGCTCATATCCACACGCACAGCACTCAGAACGATGGCAGAGATAGAACGTTCTATGACCCTCCTTCCGCACCCGCACGTTCAGCCCTTCGTGCCTTCTTTCTCGCATTGGCGGCAGCAGCCTTTGCCTTCTTGGCCTCAGCACGCGCCTGGGGTGTGGTAGGTTCAGGATCAATCAAGGAGGCTGTGGCAAAATGGGGGCACTGACCTTCTCTTCCTCCTCCTTCTTCGCTGCCTCCTCAGCCTTCCGCTTCTCCTCCTCTTCCTTCGCCTTCTGCTGGGCGTCGGGAGCAGCTCCACCGCCCGATTTAGCCTTCTTCTTCGCTTCTCGGGCAGCCTTCTCCTCCTCCTTGATCCGCTTAATGCGAGGGTCCACACTCAGAGCTAGATCCACGATGTTCCGCAGGCGCGCGGTGTCCTCCTTCTTTCGTCGCGCTCGCTCGGTCTTGTTTTTCTTCTCGGTGTACCGTTTGTCGTCTCGACTGGACAGTGTGGTTAATGAGGCTTTTCTGCAGCCGTGTCGGACATGACTAACCTATCACTGCCTTCGTTGACCTCTTTGTCCAGGTACTCGAAGCTTCTCCAGCTGTCAAAGTTGTACCAGAAGTCGTAGAAAGCCTCCACCTTCTCCTTGGGGTCGTCCACGTCGCCCAGCATAGGCACAGGCTGGATCTTACTAAACCGAGCTTCGCGCTCGAAGACGGGCCCGAAGCCCTTGAAGAACGCGCGGACAGGGTCCCTGGCTTTCGTGATCTGGGAGGCGGTGGGAACGTCGTCCTCGATGAGACTGAAGTACGGGTCCACGGAGTCGAATTGTCGGCGCTTCTCCGGATTCGACAGGACCTCGTGTGCTTTTTGTATACATTTGAAGAACGCGTCGTCGTTGGAGTCACCGGCGGCGCCTGCTTTCTTGTCTGGATGGTGCTTGAGCACTTTCTTCCGGTCTGTCATGAGACGTAGAGTGAGCAGCACGCTGTGTAGTCTCTCATGCCCAACGTACGAGCAACTTTTATTTGCGCGTCGGTAGCCTTGTATCGTAAGTGGGATAGACCCAGGACAGCGTAGTGATCTTGTTTCTGAGGGGCGTCAGATATTGCCGACTGAACTGAGAGCGGGACAAACCTTCCATTCCTTCGGATCCAAGGACAGCAACTCCTCCGTCTCAGGCTCATCGCCCACACCTAAATCATCCTCTATACCACCCTCTCCGTCCAGGGCCTGAAGCCGCTTCCGCTCCTCCTCCGCATGCTTGTCGTGCTCTTCAAAGGATAGTTTGTGGATGGCTCTACGTACGTGCCCAAGATACGCATGACCTGCCGGCAATAGTTTCCGCTCGACTAAAGCTGTACATGATTACCGACAAGTCAGTTCAGAGTATAGTCCGGACAAAGGACACAACACATACGCGAGATAGATTTTGACGAGGACTCCGGGGGTGTCCAATTTTGCGGTAGGGGCGGGGGCACCACGCTGACTTCTATGACCTGCTTCATTGTCGTCGTCCTATAATTGCTGCCTGCGACTTAGATGAAAGACGGCGTCTGGCCTGCAGGACTTCGCTGAAAAAGATTGTGCACGCGCTGAGATTCTCAATTTGGCAAAACATCTGTGACAGAATAACAGTCATCTGATAGAGGTCACACTACACGTGATTCGTTGGCGTTGCAGCTGGGGCGCGCCACTTCGTTTCACAAGTCAAGGTCTGCGGTCATCATATTGAGCAGCAGCGCGCAATCATCTTGCCGGAACACGGTAGGCATAGATCCACTATTTTCTTAGTATTGAAGCCTATACAAGGCTTCTTGTTGATCTTAGTGGGTGCTCGAGTCAAGTTCAAGTCGCGCCAAGTCGCGTCAATAGAAGGTGATTCATACTCGCATCTCACTGCTGGAAGTGCCGAGAGTCACTCACTTAAGGGGTAAACACTAGTTTATACCCAACAGTTGCATAACGCGAGGAAAAGCTATTTGCCGACACTCCTTTGTTTATAGGAACGACCCAGCACTTTATCGTCACGGCCTTTGCAAATTTCCCTTGTACACAAACAAACGGATTTATCCCGTTACACATATACATACCTGATAAGATGAAGAGCCTCAAAGAACCAGCCTCGGCAATGTCGAGAATGCGATCGCCGCACTCGCCTCCTCGCTCCCCTCCCAGAACAAAGATACAGACAAGGCCGATAACTTCGTCCAAGATTCTCGCCGCGCTTGATGCCGACTCGGCCATTCTTTTTCTGAGCCAGACTCCCCCCATCTCGTCTCGAGCAGTCCTGAGACCCATGACAGCTGCGGTGGCATCCCTTGGGCCGAAACAGTGAGCTCGACGCAAAAAGCGTGGAGTGGCATCTATCTCACCATTCCATGGCTTACAGAGGCAGGCCCATCTTGCTTAAGTCGGTCACCGCAGACATCAACAACTCTGTTGGTATCAATGCACCCACGTCGACCGAGTCGGTGGGGACGACCGTCACAAAGACCACAAAGGCCAGCGTCACGAGAGGACTGCCACTCTACACATACAAAGACTATAGTCCGAAGCCTTGCGTAGTCTACACCCGCAACGAGGAGGAGGCGGACGACCTCATACAATGCCTCAAGGGGTCAGTGTTGCACCATCTTGAATATTCCTCGTCCTCTCACCCGCATTGTGCTACTATCATTCAGACCCCTGGGCTTCGACATGGAATGGCGCGTCAATCGAAGATGGGAATCTAGAACCGCACTTGTGCAATTCTGCGACGAGAAGATCATCTTGTTGGTGCAGGTTAGCGCGATGAAGAGTAGGTAGTGAGGCTAATGTGTGTCTCGTACCGGCTGACGTCGGGTGCCAACAGAATTTCCGCAGAAAGTCAAGGTAGGTATTGGAGGCATATGTCATTGTTTCGGCGACTAACAGCCTTTCTCGGTCTTTCTCGCACATCAGGAGGTGATAGAATCGCCCAAAGTGCTCAAGATGGGTGCCAACATCCACAGTGAGTGCTGCTTCGTACTGGTCTACCTAGCCTGACTATGGCGATGCTAGACGACGGCAAGAAGTTGTATCGGGACTTCGGCATCCGCGCGAGCGCCCTCCTAGAACTTGGCGCTCTTGCAGGAACCGCGGACCCCGATTTCAAACAGACGTATAACAGGCGTATCGTCGCACTTGCGAAGGTTGTGGCCATGTACGAGAAGAAAACTCTAGCCAAAGGCGACGTGCGGACGAGCGACTGGGAGGCGGAGCTCGACGCCGAGCAACAAGAATGTAGGTTGCGTTGCGTTGCAGGTCTGTAAAGGTGGTGGCTCATCCGTAGAAACCGCCCAGATGCCGCCAGCGACGCTCACTGCGCCCTGATGGTGTACAAACGAATGATGAAGATCGCTGAAGTGCAAAGGCTCACCGTGGACCCCTTCGAACTGACGACCAGCGTCGTAGCGACCCATGTGCCCCCGCCGGTGTCGAGAACCACAAGCACGGCTTCCACCGGAACGTTCAGTTCGACTACTACTGACCCGCCATCCGTGCTCACCGGCGATGGCGTGCCCCCTCAGCCGATGAGCCCTCAGTGGATGCGCGCGTATAACCTATGGCACCATAAGCAGATGCCCCTGTCAGGCATCTGCGCGCGTCTTCGGTCGCCGGAGAATCCGCTGAAGGAGAGTACTGTGATGTGCGTATGGCACTCTTCCAACTACGCGCTCCGAACCGTCTCTGATGTGTGGATTATCGTGCCCATATTTCTGCTACTCAGTTCATATGTGATAAGGGCACTGCAAGCGGATCCGACCCTCCCGTACTCCGTGCCACGGCTTAAGGAGCTCGTGCAACAGGAAGCGAGTTCGTGGCAGCGACACAGAGATTGGATTACTCAACAGGAAGCCAATTCTTGGAATGTATGAGTAGGAATTGCGAGACACTGGTGGTGTGAGGGAAGGCTACTTTTGACGGCTGTCTGATTCTTCTGGATATCTTATACCGTATGTATACTGACTTGTGCTACAATGATTCGGATGTTCTTTCCATGGCTGTCGCTCACCCGGATAATGGAGGTGCCGTACAAACTGAACATACTGAAATCTATTTCCATAGTCGACTGTACTTAGGTTGAGCAGGTAGGTCTTCCGATGACGCGTAACGTGTAGGCTGGATAGAATACTTGCAATTGGCCTTGTGGATCGGAGTCTGAATCCGCTAAACGCGTCTGTGGCTGAGTGCATCCACCATGTTGTCTTCGTCGGATCATCACCTTACAACTGGCCTTGGGGTATGTATGGGGCAAGATGCACTAAGAAATGTGGAAATCAACTTGTTGCATTTTCATCCAAGTCATTGACGCAAACAATTCGGCGCAATAGCAGCATTTGTAGGGTGGTCGACTTGGATATGGAGACGTGAGTGGCTATGGACAAGTCAAGGCTCATATCGACAAGGATTAAGCGTCTACAGCAAATCAGCTGCCAAAAGGGTAGGGTCGCGACTGGGTCCTAGGGAATTCATGAGGTAGAGCACAGTAGATGGCTTCCTCAAGTCATCGAATCGACCGAAAGCGTGGGTTGCGTCGGCCTCCGTTCACCCTCCTCTTTCTATGCCGTTCGTCGAACCTTGATGGGACCTCTACTGCAGCGCGCTGCTCCTGAAATCAGCCATGCGAATACCGATCGCATGACGTAGGACGCACAGTGGTTGACACGGCGGCGGCTCGCGCAGTCCACATTTCAAGCATCCACCCTCCTGCCGCCCAGCCGTGGCGACTGCAAACTCCGACGCCAGCCGCCGCCTGGTCAAGATAAAACCTCCCCTCGAACACTGAACTTCCTCATCCCATCTCTTCCATCTTCCCCTCTCAGCTTGCTTTCCTCCACTGGTTCTCGAAGGCTACTACACTCTGAGGACGAACGCGCCTTCACTCGTCGTATGTAAGCGCTTATGATCCTACTTAAAGTCTCGACTTATACATTCTCGTCACTTGTACTATGTCTAGATCCTCCACTACTCGACCAAGAGAGCTCCCTCGTCCAGTTCTACTTTCGCACCACGGCTATCCCTCTGAGGCAAGTGCAGTCCTCCTCTCCAACGCCCACCCGCGCCCTCTCCTATCAAGCTTCGGCCTCAAATTCGCTGAAGACAGCCCCGTAATTTACCGAACCTTGTGAGATGTGGGCTAGCAACGGTGCCATCGAGTCGCTCTGGGCCGCTTGCGATGCCGTCCTGAAGGCGCCGGTTGGGGCTGGCGACCCTCAAGTTGCATCGAAGACGTTCGCACACAAGCCACCCCGTAATTTACCGAACCTGCCGAGACGTGGGCTAGCGGCAGTACCATCGAGTCGCTCTGGGCTGTCCGCATAAGCCGTCCTGTGGGCGCCGGTTGGGGTCAGCGATCCTCAAGCCCAAGGACCACGATGGAGCGCGCGGGTGGCTGACAGTCTTGGGGAGTCGAATGGTGGCTGACACTTGCTGTAGTCTTGCGCAGGTTCTCAACGTGACACCAATCATTCCTCTCCAGATGACATTACAATCATCTATCTTCGAGCCCTGGTGCCGGTTTCTCTCTCATCATGCGTTCGTCTACTGAGGACCGCTCCAACAGTCGAAGGTGAGTACTTGTGCCTCCGTACTACGTACCCTTCGCTATCACGGTTCCTAGATCCTCCGCTACTCGATCAACAGAGCTCACCCTTTGTAATCTATTCTCGTACCATATCTATTAAACAAAAGGCAAGTGCAGTCCTCCTCTCCAACGGCCCCTGTACGGCCTTCCGTCAAGGCCGAACCCGGGCTGGCCAAAGCCCTCCCGTAATTCACCGAACCTTCCGAGACGTGGGCTAGCGACAGTACCATGGAGTCGCTCTGGACTGCTCGCGATGCCGTCCTGAGGGCGCCGGTTGGGGTGGCGACCTTCGAGCCCGGGTTCGCCCATGGAAGCAAGGCGGGCGGGTGGCCGAAAGGTTTGGAGAGTCGACTGGTGGCTGACACTTGCTCTGGGCTTGTGCAGGTTATCGATGTAATGCAAGTCACGACTTAGTCTTCTCGAGCCGCGCGGGATGTCGTGTCTCAAGCAAGGCAAGTTCAGCCTTGGGGATTCGACTAATGGCTGACACTTATCATAGTCTATGCGATGCAGACCAACTTCGGTTCTCAAGACCTGGGGTTGGCATTTCTCAAACAAGGCAAGTGCAGTCTACATCCCATTGCCGCATGCATCGCCCTTAAAGGGGGAGATCGAGCGTCCGACCTGCTTGATAAACCGACTAGCCGCCCTGAAGAGCCTCGTGAGACAAGGGCTAGCGGCGGTGCCATCGAGTCACGCGGGCTCTGGGCCGCTCGCTATGTCGTCCTGGAGTGCGGGCAAAGCTAGCGGCATTCGAGTTGATGTTCACCCTGGAGTGACGCCGGGTGGTGGCATATCTTCGAAGCTGGATGGTGGCTGACACTTGCTTTCAGCATTTGCAGGTCGTTCAATATCAATATCCCGTGGAGCTTGCTCACGTACCCTCAAGGACCTCCTCGTGTCTACGTGTCTACCGAGTTACAGGCAAGTGCAGCCTTCCCTAGATGGTGGCTGACACTTGCTTTTCCAGCACTCGCAGGTTGGTCAACATATATTTCTCATACACTAGAAGCTCCCCACTACCCCTGAAGGCCCTCCCCGTATCCACCAACCGCCAGATAAGTGCAGATTTTTTTCCTGGTACCCCACCCGCGCCGCCCCGTTCGTCATGTCTCGGTCTCAAGCTCACTGAACACGCCCCGTAATCCCGTATCTTCTCAGTCGTGCGCCAGCGATAGTATCATAAATCACGGTTACTCGCTTAAGCCGTCCTGAAGCGGCGGTTGGGCTCGCAATTTCCGCGTCGGTACCCGCTTCGAACACATATACACCGTAAGTGGCATAAGCCGTCTCGAAGGCCCCGATTTGTGCTGGTGACCATCAAACAGACGTTCACTCACCTAGGAAGGGACTGGGTAGCGCCGCCCCTCCCACCCTCAAGTCTCGCTCTCAACGTTGAGGATGACGACACGCAGCTCCGATCGCATAAGCGCCATCCTTAAGCCTACGTTCATTGAGGAAGGGGCCGGGTGGAGGCAGATCTCGGAAGTTGAACAGTGGCTACACTTGCTTTTTGTCCTTGTTAGATTTTTTTTGGCTGATGCCTGGAGCAAAGTGCGATATTTCATGGTGCCCACAGGTAAATTGTTAGTTTCACCAGCTTCGCATTGAAATAGTAGCTGACGCTTATCCCTGTCGCCCCTCCACCGATCCGATATACACGGCCCTAAGCAAGTACAGTCCTGAGCTTCCATCGCGCCATCCTTAGATTAACTTCACCCGTAGAAGCCGTCTCGGAGTGTCATGCCTCTAGAGACGGAACTAGCAGTGGTATTGATATGTTCTTGACGGCGCGTACGCCCAGTCTTAAAACCGAACAAGGCGAGGGCACGTTATCTGCACGCTAATGCCGGGCAGATAGTCGGTCTGATAGGGGTGAGTCTCGGGAATCGACCAGCGGCTAGCATTTACTGTTGGCTGAGGTGTTACTCTAGGCCTTGCGTCGAACCGCTCTCCATTGGAACATGTGGTCATCGTGGAAGATAAGTGATGCATCTCATAATATTCCTCGCGCTTTGGTAGTAGTCATGCATGACGGGCAGTGGATGATCTCTCCAGTCGCTCCATGATTAGGTTGGTCAAGATCGCTCCTATATAGCGGAAGTTGTCGCAGCAACACCACGAAGCCGAGTTATCCATTGACATCGTTCCTGATATAGCTATAGGTAAGTACACTCACATCCATCGAGCCCATCTGCAGTGTTTTCGCAAGTTTGAACACCGCTCAAAGCGCAGACACCCCTCCCAAGGAAGGTCATCAAGTTGTACTGGATAATTTGCATTATTGTCATGGAGCGTCCGCGCGTTTGATAGGCCTCCAGGCTCCGTCAAATTTCAAGACGACCTGACTACGGCGTGCGAGGTGTTGCATTTCAGTTGACACTTATACCGGTCATGACGGGTCATTCCTCATTCGATCCCATACGCTGGAATCTTTCGTGGACTTCAACTTTGCTGGAAGGTAAGGCTTGCTACATAACAGTCCATGTCCATGTGATGTAATTTGGCTTCTGTCATTTCTTGTGCCGGGATGCGGAAAAGACCCGGAGGGGAGAGGAATGAGTACAGTGATTGGTAATGTTAGGAGATGAAAAGAGAAGAGGAGCAACGAGGACGTCCAGAGCTTCTGATGCGGTTATATGTTGGGAGAGAGGCGGCTGACGTCGGAATCAGGATTACGAAGATAAATGCTCGGAATGCGGAGTGCAAAGGTCGTCCACTCATGCAGGCGATCCTCGCAATACATAGTGAGGGCGGTTGCAAATTATTCTCATACCAATACCTAACTTCACCTTGAAACCCCGGGCTGCCGCCATGATGATGTGAGTGTACGCGTGTCCGACGCGTCTGTGGCATCGTGACAGAGTTTGAGTGTCCGACGTGACAATGGTCCCTTATATCACGTGCACGATCGCGTCCGAGTTGCGACGCGTTCAGGGCTTTTTGACCGCGTCAGTATGACAGCGTCAAGGACTGGTCCCGTTCGTCAGCTTCACGCCACACAGAGGGCCTCCATTATGATACTCCACGTGGGTACGGCTGATACGCTCCTTCAGCAGATTTACGCAGCCAGCGGTTAGATGATTCAATGCGCGGATATTCCGAATTCCCACTGGACGCTCCCGGAATATCAATAAATTGGCTGAGTGTACGAGATCGGCGCAAACCGTACAATACATTATCTCCTCCTTCACCTTCACAATGAGTCGCTGGGACACAGTTCCCAAGCTCCCAGTCCAAGACGAATCCCAGATGGTATCACTGTAATATGTGGTACGTACCTTCTCATTTCACCCGAACAGCCAGTCCTGCAGCTACGCATTCCTAAAATGGCCTTCCCTGAAATGTTTAATGAAGTTTACTGTTTCTCATCCCCATCACCTACCTAAGGCCATGATATCCCTTCTACCGGCTCGGCTAAACAGACCCTGCGTTCACCATCTGCTCCTCGATCCCCTCTATCCACCAGTGCTTCCTGCCGATGCCATGTTTCCTCGCCTCCGTCCTCCCACCATCTTCTCACACGGCCCCCTGTTCTTTATCCCGCGATACTTTCTCCATCTCCCAACCTGCTGCACACTCTCCATCGCTCCAACAGAGTTATCCAACACGTCCTACGCTCCTGCAGGTATCGCTGACCCCTGCCAGCCTAAGCCATCCCCCTCTCCTGTGCAATCCCAGAACAACTCCGGATCCACCGTGACCCGGGGACCAGCACTAACTGGACCACATATCATCGTGCCGTATTGACGCGCAGCGTAGGGCAAACCATAACTCGCATTCCATCACCGCGCGTTGTTATAGCCGGCGGACTTGCACATTCACCTGTCAATATCCGGAGCAAGTGTCAGATAATGCTTACATTCGCCTTCATCGCGCGGCGAACACAGCTTTTTGAACCGCGAAGTGCGGAGTCGGCTCATACGAACGACCCAGAGCCCTCGCTGGCGCAATTGCTAGGCCGTGTGTTTACGTCGTGGAAGGTATGGAGTGTTGGAACAGTTTGCGCAGTTGTCACAAGTTCCTGCGTGAGCCTCAGGATAATACCGCCTCCAGCCTACATTCCAAAACACGGGAAATTATGGTCTGGGTTCTGCGCTTTTGGAGACGGGAACTGATGAGGGTAGAGTCGGAGCGGGAGGGCTGGAAGCACAAGGAATGCTCTTGCCTATAGCTGGAAGACCGGGCAACGACCTGGAGGCGCAGCTTGGCTCTCTGACGCTTCCCAGTAGTGTGGATCTCGACGGACCCCATCATTAGAGTGACTAGAACAACCGTTGACTCCCCGCTGTGCATTTTTAATGTGAGATGTACGATGGAAAGATCGACTTATCTTTCACGATGACCGCAAGTTCCAGTAGAGCAGAACCACTTCTAGAACAGCTTATCAGCGACTGAAAGTAAATGTCATGAACAGCCAATGCTCAACTTCCAGACCGACTGTCCGACTGGAATCAGCGGACCGGTAGAGAGCGCTAGAGAGCCCTCGCCTTCTGCATTTCAAGGCATGTACGAGCGATCCAAGGCATCGCATCCTTTCTAGCACGCGTTTCCGAAGGCAGGGCGCTTCCCTGTCGAACGGCGTTGAAGTGCAGCCAGGGACGGCGCTACCGATCGAAGAACCGCGCTTGCCTAGAGCTAGGTATATTAGGGACGATCTTGAAGAAAAGCTTAGTATTCACGACCGATGCAGTTAAAAATATCAGGTCGAACTGGAAGGAGCGACTAGGACGAATGCCGGAGAGCCATCACACTATGTTTTCACGAAGCATACGGCATTATGGGCTTACCTCTTGACTATATTCAAGGTATCGAGCTGACCACCTGAAGTGAGCGAGTCCTGAAAACGAATGCTGAAGCAAGTGTCAGCCATTGTTCCACCTTCGACAGTCGCCTCCACCCGGCCCCTTTCTGTGAGTGCATACGAGTCGATTTGAGGACCGGAATTACGGGGTACGTTATGCGTACTTGACGGCAGAAGAGGCGGCGTCACTCGGCCCCTTCCCAGCTGAGAGGAAATCGGCTTAAGTGTCGCGAACTACAGGTCGGTTTATGCGAGCAACCCAGATCAATGGAGCTGTCGTTAGCGGACCTCTCGAAAAGGTACGAGTTATGGGGCGTCTTTCGTGGGCTTGACATCGAGAGTTGATGGTGGTAGGCGGCCCGGTCGTGGAATCGAGAGTTGAAGGTGGGAGAGGTGGCATGGGTGGGGCTCGAAAAAGAAAAGCTGCACTTGCCTATAAGTCGGGAGACGGAAGTTGATGGGCAGCCCCAAGTTCTTTTGTACGGAGACATAGACGATGGCCAACCTGTGAAAGCAGCAAGCAAGGGTCAGCCACCATTCGATTCTCCGCGACTTCCTGCCACTCGCCCGCCTCCGATTCCAGTACGACCTCAAGCCTGCAGAACGTCGACCCCAACCGGCGCCTTCGGAGCGCAGCCCAGAGCCACTCGATGGTACTGCGGCTAGCCTGCGTCTCGGAAGGTTCGGTGAATTACAGGGTGTGTTCCGCAAGCTCAAGGTTGAGACTGGACGGGAGGGGGTGCGGGTGGCGTTGGAGAGGAAGACTGCACTTGCCTTAGAGACGATAGCAATGGTACGAGCGGCGTCCGAGCAAGAGACTGTCAGTCATGTAGTAGATTGTCTGAAAACAGTATATGTGATGAGAGTCTAGACGTTAGGAGGCAAGCGTTAGCACTCACATACGGTCAGTGGAGGAGCGTTGGTCCTAAGTGTAATACCTTTCGAGAACCAGTGGATGAAAGCGAGGTGAGAGGGGAAGAGGGGCGATATGGGATGACGAGATTCAGACGCTGCACGATATTCTAGGTACCGGCAGAGCAGGATAAGGCTGGAAGGGGCGGCGCTACCCGTTCCCTTCCTACGTAAGTAGAAATGGACTTAAGGGGACGTCTTCAGCGATTCTGTAATCGAGACTTGGCGGCGAAAGGGGCGGCGTCACCCGTCCCCTTCATATATGAGGGGACATTAGCATGAGCATGGGCAGTACGGGCTGGACGAAAGCGGCGGGCGGGGAGTCGGTCTCGAGAAGGAAGGCTGCACTTGCCTGTAATTCGGTAGACACATAGACACGAGGAGGTCCCTGAGGATCAGTGAGCAAGTTCCACGGAATATTGAACGACCTGCAAATGCTGAAAGCAAGTGTCAGCCACCATCCAGCTTCGAAGATATGCCACCACCCGGCGTCACTCCAGGGTGAACATCAACTCGAATGCCGCTAGCTTTGCCCGCACTCCAGGACGACATAGCGAGCGGCCCAGAGCCCGCGTGACTCGATGGCACCGCCGCTAGCCCTTGTCTCACGAGGCTCTTCAGGGCGGCTAGTCGGTTTATCAAGCAGGTCGGACGCTCGACCTCCCCCTTTAAGGGCGATGCATGCGGCAATGGGATGTAGACTGCACTTGCCTTGTTTGAGAAATGCCAACCCCAGGTCTTAAGAACCGAAGTTGGTCTGCATCGCATAGACTATGATAAGTGTCAGCCATTAGTCGAATCCCCAAGGCTGAACTTGCCTTGCTTGAGACACGACATCCCGCGCGGCTCGAGAAGACTAAGTCGTGACTTGCATTACATTGATAACCTGCCCAAGCCCAGAACAAGTGTCAGCCACCATTCGACTCCCCAAGACTGTCAGCCACCCGCGCCCTCCATCGTGGTCCTTGGGCTTGAGGATCGCTGACCCCAACCGGCGCCCACAGGACGGCTTATGCGGACAGCCCAGAGCGACTCGATGGTACTGCCGCTAGCCCACGTCTCGGCAGGTTCGGTAGATTACGGGGTCGCTTCTGCGCGAACGTCTTCGATATGTCTTGAGGGTCGCCAGCCCCAACCGGCGCCTTCAGGACGGCATCGCAAGCGGCCCAGAGCGACTCGATGGCACCGTTGCTAGCCCACGTCTCACAAGGTTCGGTAAATTACGGGGCTGTCTTCAGCGAATTTCAGGCCGAAGCTTGATAGGAGAGGGCGCGGGTGGGGAGGAGGACTGCACTTGCCTTGGAGGGATAACCATGGTACGAAACTAGGGTCGACGAGGGAGACTGGTAGTCGAGTTGAAGAAGATCTAGACATTGTATAAATGAAAAGGCCCCTCAAGTAAGAAGCGAACATGATACCACCCTAGTGAAGGATCGCTACTTCTGACAGTCTAGAAGCCTTCGAAAGCTAGTAGGGATAAGCGAGCTGAGAGGGGAAGAGGGAAGAGATGCGATGAGAACGTTCAGCGTTCGAGGGCGGTTTATATGCTGACCACAGGGCGGCTGGCGTCGGAGTTTCGAGTCGCTGAGGCTGAGCGGCAGGAGGATGAGTGCTTGGACTATGAACTGGACGAGCTCGACGGTGTCAGCCACTGCACGTCACACCGTCGACAGTGCACATTCTACGTCATGCGATCGGTATTCACATCGACGCACCAACGTCCTCCGATTCCTCTAAGATTTCAAGCGTCGTGACCGATCCGCAAAGATTCTGTGGCATATTCACTCATGGCAACGCCAGCCCAAGAGCGATGATCTGACGCTCGCATCTGCACGGGCAGCCTTACCTGTACAAATCACTTTGACAACGGTGTAGTCGCTTGAAAATGCCCAGAACCTACCGGGAAGTCTGAACACCGCCATGTCTGGCATCCTGCCCCTTGAATCACGCATGCTCTCGAAACTAGGAGACAGCAAGAAATACATTCCCATGTAGATCCACGACCGAAGTTACCCTAGTAGACATTAGAGACCACCATACTTCTTCATGAAGTTGAGGTGGAACTGCTCCAGGGCACCCACATACTCCTCCACGCCCGGGCACAGGCACGTCAACCTGTAATAGTTGTGGCCGTCTTTCTTACCGAACCCCTCACCAGGAACGACACAAATACCCGTCTCGTCCAGCAGCTGCAGGGCATAGAAGGTGTCTGGGCTCTTGCCCGCCTTCTTCGCCGCTTCGATTGCGCCCTCGGGCAGCTCCAGCTTCGGATAGAGGTACAGCGCGCCCGGCGAGCTGACGCACGAGACGCCCGGCAGCTTGTTCAGGCGGTCGGCCATGGTCTTCGTGCGCGATGCGAGCGCTGCGTGGATCGCGTCCGTCTCCTTCTTCCAAAGCGGGTACGACTCGTCGCCGGGTTTTGGTGGGCGCACCATGCAGTCCACGCCGATCTGGCCAGTCAACGGAGGGCAGAGGCCGACAGAGACCATTTTATAGATGAGGGAAAGGATGGCGTCGGGGATGTTCGTGCACTCGAAGTAGCCGCCTCGTCGCCCGCACTCCCCTTGCACGCCCTTTGATATTGAGTGGAAGGAGAAGAGCGGGACGGGGGAGTTCATGCGTCGGACGATTTTCTTGAAGGAAGTGAACGGATGCGATTCTGGCCGATGGAGGTTGCTCTGGTAGACTTCGTCCGCCAGGAGGACGAGACTGTGCTTCTCGCAGAGCTTGACCAGCTCCTCCTGCGTGTGCTCGTCCAGTAGTGCACCCGTAGGGTTACCCGGGTTGATGATCACGAGTGCCTTCGGTTCAATGCCATCCTTGTATGACTTCTCCAGAGCACCCTCGATCTCGTGCAAAGACGTCGACCATTCGGAAGCCTCATCCAAATGGTAGGGAATCGCGATACCGGAATGTTGGGCCAAGGTAGCGGTGTACAAGGGATACTGTGGGATGGGGATGAGGATACCTGACTTCGGCGGGGTTATGAGCATGGAAATGAGGAGCGAGACGCCCGCGGACGCCCCCGCGGTTAGGAAGATGTGGTTGGGGTCAGACGGATAGCCATCGCGTTCTAGTGGAATAGTAAGTTAACCTTTTACACCATCCTGGATACGGCAAGCACTACCTACGTACCTTCGATAAAATGCGCCACGCTTTTTCGGATAAGGGGAACACCCTGGCTGTGGGAGTACGCCCCGACAGACCCTATCTCCTCCTGCAACTCCTTCGCACGAGCGATCACGTCCTTCGGGAAGACTTGGGGAGCCAAGTCCATAAGTGCCGGCCATTCCATCAACGCACAGACCTATGGTGCGACTGCGCTCAGCTATCGTACAGGAGTACGTGCTCGCCACGGATCCGACTCACCTGCCTCGTCCATGTTATTGGAGGCTGATCCAAACCCTTCTGCTGAGGATTCCCGATATTCGAGTTAATGACTCTTTTGAAGGGTAAACCGTGGTCGTCTTTTGTGAGCTTCAGCCGGTGCTCCTCTGCTTTGATCGCCAACTCTCCTCGGACGGCATATTGCACCTTCAGTATGGCCGGGTTGATGGAGTCGATACTGAGGGGCCGCATTTTTGCAGAATTAGATGGAAATCCGGATAAACGTGGTCGTCGCAATGAGGAGAAGAAGGCGATTCCAGATGCCATGGCCCCGGGGAGTTTATAGGACTTCGCGGGTCATAGGGGTTGACAGGAGCTCGGCATCGAGGTCTATGGGTTCTCAGGGTTTTGTACGTGAAACAAACGGCGCTCCGCCTTCAAGAGTGTATGTACAGCAGGGAAATCGATACAGGCGTGCTGGAACAGCGTCGGATGGAAGCCATGCAATTTACAGTTTATGAAATGATCCTCACAGCGAGGAACAGTGCAAGAAGGGACCGCTATTCCTCCATAATTGGCGCAGCATTCAACGGTCATATCGCCAATGGCTATCTCGACACAGGCTTCTATCCGTCTATTCATTGCTGAGCATTATCGGCTCTGCTGTTGTACGGTAACTAACTGTTATTGCCATGTCAGGAGCGAGCAGCGTGCACTGCAAAGGTTGAATGAAAGCACGCCATCGATTCTTCAGCTTAGGGTTCTCTTGAAGCTTCTGCTTTAGTTCTGCGAGCTCATCTGACCCCTAGCGTAAACAACTCAAGGGTGATCTCGTCCGATAAACACAGCAGCCTGTCGAGAAAGATTTAATCCACATTCTGGACCGGAATACGGAGAGCAGACCTTTTCACCAATAGCATAAGCCACGGCTTGAGTGTGAGCAGCGATCGGGAAGGGGATTACGCTAGTATCTAGGGGCAAGCGCGGATGAGCTCGGCGACAGTGCAATGCAGGGATGATCAGTGAAGCTGTACCTGCTACGCGTAATCCCTGTACACCGTGCACGCGTAGGGAAGCATCCACAGTCCCTCTGCTGTATGAAGTTTCCATAGCACAGGTTCCTCCCAGATGCCACACTGCCACACGAACGCAGGTGGTCAGTGAAGAGACACAGCTATCATTTTATCCAGGGACCCACGAGTTGTCACCCTCTCTCTAATAGTGTCCAGGATCGCGCCCTTGCTGGGCTTCTCCTGAGGCTCCAAGAACTCTTCCCAAGCCTTCGAGCTCAGGATATCATACGCCTTCTCGATGGCAGTGACCATCATGTCTCGATCTACAGGCTGCTTCATCTGGTTCACCTCAATTCTAGGGAAGCGGGGGTTTATCGGCGAACAAGCGGAATCCTGAGCGGCGACGAATGACTGGGAGCCCAGAGATACAGAGCCGCGAGAGCGGGGCGTAAGAAGGACATTAGAGATGGAGATATAGGACGATTGAAGGGGGTCCGGAGCTGCAGTGAGGCCGTGGCCGTAATGCAAGAATTGTTCGACATGAGGAGTTGTAGACCTTAGAAAAATAGCCCTCTCGTATTCCGTAGTACTGGGATCTAGACGGAAGGTTGGATGAAGCTCGTCCGTGCCCAACTATAGAGGGTAGTACGTACCATCATTCAGAATTGGTTCTATATATTCTTTACAATTGCTGAAGGTGAACCACTCGACAGGGATTCCTAGCAGAATAGAAGGCGTCAAAGACGAACTATCCCGGAAAAGATGGTGGACGCGCTATACCATTAATCATGCCCTTTCCTTCATTCGCCCACTTGTCCAAATGTCGACCAGCAGTTCTAAGACTGGCCAGGTCCTCCGCTGTATCGCGCCGTTTGTCACTCCGAAGCTTGAACCTAAGCCGCAAAAATCACTGGCGAACGACCCATGTGCTAAACTTGTCAGACCTTATGTCGACAAACGGGTGTTCCCATAGGTTCTGCCCAACTTCAGGCAGGTCATAAACCAGAGGGATCCCGTGGGCCTGGAGTTGCGACTCTGGGCCTATTCCAGAGCTGAATTGAACGGCGTGCTATCAGCTGCCACACGAGACTCCCGTTCCCAGAGGCGACTTACAGTAGGAGAATGTGAGGACTTTGCACGGCCCCTGCGGACAAGATCTGGAACAAGTACACAATAAGCTAGGGGAGCTAATTATGGTGCGGTCGCAGTACTCACGATTTCCTTCCTAGCTCTTACAGTACCTACATGAGTGGAAACACCCACCGCCCGCTTCTTCGTAGCGTCGGGGACATCTTCAAACAAGACCTTCTCTACACGTACAGCTGTCCACACTTCGAGGGCGCCCCCCTTCTCTGCCGCCTTCTTCAAGTATTCATTCGCCGTAGCCCTCTGGCCACCGCCTGTCACATTTTCGACTAGTTCACCATAGCCAAGCATATGCCCAGCATTGATATCTGTTATCTTTTGGAACCCAGCTTCGTCCAAGGATAGCGATGCCGTGTGGGACCAATAATTATCCCTCGGGGACTGCGAGCTGGCACGTACTGGAATACAACCCCCTGTCGGTCCATCGGCTGATCGCACTCTCCGTTCAATCTACGAAGATTATCAATGCGTTGTGATTATGTAGGCCAAAAATACGGCTTACACGGTTGAATGTCGGAACGATGCTGTTCCAAGACCATTCCGGGTTCCCAGTCAATTCAGCCCACAGATCGTAGTCCTCTACATCAGGCGGTAAACTCCGATACTCTAGCCCATGATGCGTTTTTACCTTTCGGACCTCTAGTCCAGATCCCCCAGTTTATACAGGTGGAACCACCTAAAACCTTGCCTGCGAGAACAGATCTGTCAGTCAAACACGAATGCGCATTCCAGCAGACGCACCGCTGCTAATCCTTAGTTCTCTCTGGGAGAACTGATCCTCCCCGACAGTCGGGTAAAGAACATCAAAGGAGCTACCATGCAGGGAACGGGTGAGTAGAGGCAGCCTGACGGAGTTCTGCAGCTCCGGATTTTGCTCAACGCTTGCGAGTCGTTGGAACACTGAGTCTCAACATCCAAGGACCGGCATGAGACGTCTCACGTTGTTCCCTGCTCGATCAGGAGGACAGAATACCCTGCCTCGTTCTCAGCGAGCCGTGCTGCGAGCGCGCAACCGGCAGGACCGCCACCAACGACGATGAAGTCGAACTCAGGTGTCGTAGAGCCATCCTCACCGAACTTGGTCGAGGCAAACGAAGAGTGGTGCGCAGAGTAGACGTGAGACGTGGTGGACATGTCGGTGGCTCTGTGCTATCCAGGACCTTGGGAGTGAAATGACGATAGGCAGGCGCCTGATGGTGATTGGAGGCATATTCCATACGGCGAGCCTTACCTTCCTCTGGAGATCTCCTAATCTGCATGCAAGAGAATGCCGGAACGGTCTTTCGGCAAGAACGTTGAGTGATTACAAGTGCACATGGTTAGGTGACGGGCGACTGCAGTAAAGAAGCAGACCGGAGTAGTCCAAAGAAACGAAGAGATGGTGACTCAGACTCCGGACACCTCATAATGCGAGATACTCTATTATGTAATCTCTGAGAGGGACTTGGACCGCATTCTGTTCATTCATGGATAATCAGATTCATCTTAGCTTTGAAGTTGGACCTGGGAAGCTAGAGACGAACCTCTACACGGAGCGCAAAGAGCCGTGATCTTCCCGAGGTACGAGCTCACAACCTGGCCATGTTGGGTTGCATCTTGTTGAGGAATGCGGATGCGATCAATCGCCCACTTCGCTGGTCTATAACCTGCATTGCAAATACGGCGCAGATAGAAACCGTGCATGATCAGGTCGCAGCTGAATGCTCCAGAGGCGGATGACAACTTACTTCGCAGCGAGAAGTCATACATCTCCCACCGAGTGTAATAGAGGTGCTGATAATGCGCAGCCTCGAGCCCCTGTGACCTGGCATTAGCAAGGAGGAGAGCTTGCATACTAAGCCGCTTACGGTGGTGCAGGCGAATGATACAGTATATTCATGGCTTGTGTTACGCCAACTCCGTTGATTTTACGGATTAGACCGAGGACGATTGACGGTGTGGCACAGCACCTGGGAGGGTCACAAACGATTATCAGCCTTGCGACTATATTGCTAGAGACATGCACGCACATGTCTATCAGGTATGCTAGGCAACCACCATGCAGCATGCCTGCGCCATTCAACATATCTTAAATATGCGCCTCGTCAGTCAGACCATAGCAGGAGTGCAGCGACTTCGTACTTTTCGTTACTTCCAGCTCAGCGACCGTAGTGGCCTCCATTCTACCCCCTTTGTCTGGTCTTCGTTCCACGTCGACTTCAACAAACTTCAAATCCTTCCCTACACCGTATGCGAAGCATTCCTGGTCGCCTAATCCATACGCTCCGAACGTATTATTATTTAGCTGTTTCACGAATTCAGGTGCATTGCCTCCTATGCTAGAAGCGTCGCCGTAATTTGGTAATGATTCAGGATTCACCCAAACTCGGCAGTGAGGTGAAGACAGAGACGACCCGCTGCGCCTGCTGGTTTGTGATGACGACGGTGCAAAGTCATAGTCGTCAATAGCAGCAGGATCGGCTGAAGTCAAAGCATGAGACTGTCGGGACATTTTGTGAGAGGCGTGTTCCTTGAGAGTTCAAAGTGCACGTACTCCGCTTTTTACGCTGGCCCAAAGAATTGGATCCTCCTGGTGCTATTCTCGGGTCAAACAACAGCTGCCCTTGTAGTCCGAGTCCTCCTCGGAACGGACGACTTTCGTCCAGTCCATTTGATGCTGAGGTGGGATTGCCGGATCCTCGACCTCGGCTCGACTGCTACCCACCGTAAATCAAGCTTTGAGGACCGCTGTCTGGAGGAGAAGAACTTGTCATGTCAAGATAGAGATCCAGCGCAGGCAGAGGCTAACATGGATCGATCTGGCGTAGACAGTTTGCGACGAAAGCTTTGAGGTGACAGCCTCTCCGTGTTCGCAGAAGTGGCTGCATATGCGGAGGCATGATGTGCGGGGGCCGCCACAGTGATTCACATTAATTAGTAAATCTAATCATACCTTCCTCATAGCGGTTCTGTATTGGGCGTGTCTGTGTCGTAGCTGTGGCTCCTGACGAACATGAAAGACCTGCCCTGTGTCTCATATGGAATACGAAGTGTTTGTGGCAAAGTCGAGCATGACAAACGCGCCAGCTACGCACGGCCGGCGGAGAAGCCAACGCCTCCCTTTCGACCGACAGTCTACAGGGAAGCCCTCTCCTGACAGACTTCTCCAGATCCACTATCTACGGCCAGCCCCACCTATTTACTACTGGGCATCCGCAATGCCTGCAGATCCCACTTGGCGAACGGCCTCGCCTTGCTGGTTCTTGAAGAACACGACATCTCCGTCGTCTTCAATGAAAGTGCACTGCCGAAAAGATCTCCACAATGCAAACAGCGTGCCCTATATGGACGTCCGACAGCATCGGGAATTTAGTGAGAAACAAATTTATGAGCGGCGAACTCACGACTTACAGTAGAGTCATAATTGTAATGGTCACCCAGCACAGGTCTGATTGCTTGAGTTACTTCCGGCTGGTTATCTTGGGACATCGTCAGAGTCAGTCAATGTATTCGGCAGAGGAAATTTGGTCCGTACAGAAAGGGATCGACGAGAAGAAATGATGAGCAACGTGGTCGTGCGCGATCTGAAGGATGGGTTTAACTTCCCGGTCCAGTACACTCTCAGGGAACGACAGACAGCGTACGTTGTGTAAGAAAACTCTGCCGACCCATCCAAAGAAAGGTCTGTCGACGGTGGCTAGAGCGCCTCGCGCGAAAGTCCATTGGTCCTATGGTTCTTGTTAACCGTCTGTCGGGAGGTATGCTACGTCGGTTCCAGAGCTTACCCGACGGTAGTATGGAATAGTGGGGTCCGAATGCTGGAGGTACGTGAAGGTGACGACCCTGCGAATCGTCCTTCAGACGGACAACTTTATTGGACGAGGCATTGAACGAACCAGTTATTCGCGAACTTCCATGAACGGGAGTCAAACGATTGTGTATGCTACGCAAGCTGCAGTGTAACTTACCAGCCAAGGGACCCAGTAATGCTTCCAAACAAAAGATCCTCCCGACTTGTACGTCCAAACACCCAAAATGGTAAGCATACTAGCGATGCAAATATCCGATAGGATTATGGATTGATCTGGAAAGCCGGATGGTGTCAGCCAACAGTCCGTGTCAATTAGGCTACTACTCGCGGTGCTCAGGCTTGAAAATGAGGGACGACGGCTTGTAGTGCTGCAAGTGGAATATAGTCACGATTCGAGGTGCAATTATGAGATAACAGCACTGACACTGGTCCATTTCGGATATTTCGGGTTGCCCTTCCGATTATGACTGCGGACCGTTAAACACTCCAAAGCTCCATGCCACTACCCTACAAACTCACATCAAATATAGCTGGTAGCCTCTACCGTGGACGCGGACCTTCAGGGATGGACGGAGACATTGACATCGGAACACTCACAAAAGTTGCCGCACGACAAGTTTGAAGAGCGTGTACGCCGGTGTTTCTTCGATGATATCTTTGTAGTCCATTTTTACAGCTACCTTGCCGTCAGGTAGTTTGAGATCTTTTCGCGTCGGCGGGATGTACGTCTCATCACGTTCAAGGTTGTTGGTTGATTTCTGACGATATGCCGCCACAGGGATCGTGAGTCAATTCAGGGCTAACTGGCAAGCGACAGCAAAGACATACATGATGTGTCCGGTGTGTCACTCTCCAAGCATAGTAAGGGACCAAAATGAACGTATGTAAGCTGATACCTGCAACCGCGTTAAAGAGCGGGTAGGGCGATAAGGCATCGTGTCCCGCCTATCACGGAACAGGTCAGTCGTCTCTGTTGGCCGACGCCTCGGACAGTGAAGACCTTACCTCGTGCCCTGCAAGACATGTCAGTGACCATCAGGCATGCAATCGGCGTAGTGATCACACACCTAAGCACCAGATCCCAGCAAAAGCAATGCTCTGCCAGAACCAGTAGATAACCCACAACACTGACCTGAGCAGGACTCCGACGGCGGGTCCTATCGCATATGTCTTTCCAAGTGACCAGACAAAACCGTCGATCCGCGTCCCGAGCATATAGAAGGCATACGTGAATGCCAGATGCTGGAGAATGTAGTAGAGACTTTTCAAAGTATCCCTCTGGAATAGATGCTTGGGGACAGCGGCATGTACATCCTTCAGCGCCAGGTTAGAAAGGATGAAGGTCGATTTCTGTCTCCTGGCTTCGTATTCGGGGCCGTCCTGGAATATCTGGTACCATTGCATGTTAGAGACAACCAAGACTGGTCACCCGTCGTTCGAACGGATTTCGGGATAGGCAAGGCGAAAACTGTCAACACAAGGGGGTGAAAAAGAGAGACCACTTCACAGTGGGAGTCTTCCGAGTCCCCTGTAGCTAATGGTGGAGGTAAGTGGCTGTCGGGAGTAACACCGTTTACCTTACGGCATAGTCTTTCAATGGTGATACATACACCCACAGTTGCTCATCTGCCGGACGGCTAGATCACTGGCCCTTCTCATGGAACTGACTTCCTGATTCCTCACCAGAAGAGACAATATGGCAGAGTCCGACGTCCCATGCCACTACATCTCAGGGTCCCAGGGGTACCTATCGCAGTTACATATGACGGAAGTGCCTCAAGGCACCTACCAGTACCTTGGTAGCTTTCAGAGACGGTGCGCGTTTGAGATATGGTTTTGCTCACGTTCATTCCCTGCCGGATCTTTCCTTGGAGGAGGATCGGAACCCTGTGCGCAAATCTCCACGCCGTTCTTGTCGCTTGAATCCGGCGCTTCTGAGACGAACGGCGCACGGTCCCTCTGTAGTATCTCGTCATCCTGTCGCCGGCCAGAGGGCGTTGACCGATCGATAATGAGAGTCATCACGCAACTTCAGCATGTACCGCGCAAGGGCCCCTTCGAGGAAATACCAGAGAGAAGGAAGCCAGAGCCTTACATAAACATTCTGATAGCAAAAACAACAATTTCAGAATATGGTCATCCTAGGGCCAAACGACTGCATGGGTGAGCAAGATTTCCTTGACACAGTGACAGTGAGACCCTTGCATCGTTGAACGCAGATTTGTGTAACAATGTGCTACGATGTGTAATCCACTTACAGGCGGAGTAGACTCGGAGGCTTCCTTAGTGCCGGGTGACACCGGAATCTGCCGAGACCTCTTGCTCGCGTTCGCCATCGGCTGGCTCATGCGTTCCCCCCCTTTGAATTTCATGTGTCTTGTGTCTACCTATATGGTGGCGCACATTTCTTCTGTATACATGACAATTTTGTGCAAGGGCAGGTTTACAACCTCGTGAACACTTCATACGTTTCCTGTGATCGCATCGAAGTACTGACTCCGGGGCACATCAAGCTGACGATCACCTCTGCAGGTTCTTAAGCCTATAATACTGTGCAACAGCAAGTCGGTCACTACTTATGCGGAAAATATCCTGAAAGTCCTGACCATCAGAATACTTCGGTCGCGACCGCAAATGAATGGCAGGCTGCTTTATCGTGGACCGTAAGCCGGATATTATCCTCTTGCTTAAGTGTTGTCAGAGTTACTATCTATGGGATTCAAAATGTGCTTTCTGATGGTGTATTGCTCTGTCCGATGCCAAAGGCCTCTTGTCTCGTCTCTGCTTGCCTTTGCTACTGTCTCTCCCAAGTTGCTGGCGGTGTGGTCAGCTCCCTCAGGCCGTCCTCGTATATGTCTTGTCCGGCGGGGAATTCTGTGGACTTATTATCAGTGTCGCTTCTGCGACTCCCTGGCCGATCCTGCTCGACTAGTAAGACACTTCCTCAGGCAATATTTCTGGACTCTGTATCCATTCACGCGCGAATTGATGAAGATACCTAGGTGTCACTGAGGTTTAGAGTTCTGGGACCTATCGGAAATCTCTTGCTAACCACGCCGTTCCCAAAATGTGGCATATCTTACCTTTGCCTTGTACTTTTGCGAAGCTCTTCATACCCAAGGACCAACAAGAGATTGTAGTATGCGTTCTTGACCATAGACTGCTAACTTCCAGTTCATCACAGGACAGATTCACTGTAAATCCCATCCCTCCTCTCTCACCCGTCATTGGGTCGAATGAACAGGATGATGACAGCGGTAGATCCTCCACGGCCCCGTTGAAGTATCTAGTACCTGTGCTAGATTGTAGCTCGCGTCGATCGACCCTCATCCTCAGGCTTCCAGTTGCGGTGTTCGCATCTTGTCTTGCGAATTGTCACTTTCGACGCTCTCGTGGGCACCATGCATGGCGTACCCCTGCTCCAAACTTCCGCTATGAAGGTGAATATTATCGCATTTACATTCCGGAATGTTTTCGCTCGTCCCTATGTTGCGCATGCTGCTTGCGTCACTAATGGCATTGGGGGTTTCAGGCTATTAATGAGGTTCTATGATGTATGTCCCCAAGTGTGTGGTGCTCTTTCTGTATGGCTCTGTGGCCTATTTCTGCATGCGGTCTTTACCCCAATAATAGTGCTTACGTAGTAGACGCGTCAGTAAAGTCAGTCGGCGCGTCTCGGCGCTATCGGCATTCCTTATATGGTAAGCGCACCCCGTTGCGAACCTACCCGGATTTTTCGTGATTATACACTCCTTTTCCCGGAGACGACCACGACGACGACCGTGACGAACGCCGAGCACGCTCACTAATGCCCGCTTCGACAACGTCGCCGATGGCGCTCAACCCGCCGTCACCAACGCCGTCCATCTTCAAGAAGAAGTCGACATCGTCCTTCTCTCCCATGTCAACCGCCGCGTCCTACCTTTCAGCTGTTAAAGCTGCGGATGCACGCGCGAGGGCTAGGGGAGAGACGCCTGTCGCCACGCCGGCTTTGTCGTTCTCTTCTTCGGTCACGACCAGCAGTGAAGACACCATCCTGGACGATGGTGAAGTGGTCTCTTCCGACGCGCTCTCTTACCCGACGATACCCCCGACCTCTGAACAAGTCTTCTCGACTGTGCACACGGAGTTCGGGCATTGCGCAAATGCCGAGTATAGATATACGTCTCAGCATCCTGCCGGGACGCCCGTCAAGCCTCACATAGAGCAGGACCCACCTTACTATGTACTGTTCACGACGTACGTGAGCTACATCATCCTGATCTTGTTCGGCCACGTCCGCGACTTCACCCGCAAGTACTTCAACCCTGGCGAGTTCAAGCATTTGATTCCGCATGATGTGAGTGCCGTCCTAGAGTAGCATGGACATCTTCGACTGACCTGATGCGTCCAGGGGTATGCACCAATCACGTCCGACTTCGACTCGTTCTATACTCGTCGCCTCAAGGCTCGCATTGATGACTGTTTCTCATACCCAGTGACCGGTGTCGCTGGTCGTACCATCGTCCTGAATGAGCGCAAGTCCAAGGACTATAACCGCACCTTCTATTCCACTGGCCGTAAGGTCCGTGCCCTCAACATATCCTCGTACAACTATCTGGGCTTTGCGCAAGCCCGGGGCGGTTGTGCAGATGCTGTGGAAGAGAGCATCAGAAGGTACGGTGTCTCCGCCTGCGGTACGCGGCTGGAGGGTGGGAGCCTTGATCTTCATGCTCAGGCAGAAGCGTTGGTAGCCAGATTCATCGGCCAAGAGGATGCGCTCATATGTTCCATGGGTTTCGCGACCAACTCGACCATCATCCCAGCTTTGGTCGGTAAGGGCTGCCTGGTCGTCTCGGATGAGTTGAACCACGCGTCGATCCGGTTCGGCGTGCGCCTGAGCGGGGCTAATGTCAGGATGTTCAAGCACAATGACATGAATGCACTGGAGGACTTGTTGAAGGAGGCCATCAGTCAGGGACAGCCGAAGACTCACAGGCCGTGGAAGAAGATCCTGATTATCGTTGAAGGCTTGTTTAGTATGGAGGGGACCATGACCAACCTCCCGGTTCTTCTAGAGCTCAAGAAGAAGTACAAGGTGAATACGCAGCTGAGTTATCTATGCGCACCAACTAACGTTTTACCAGTTCTACCTTTTCATTGACGAGGCGCATTCCGTCGGCGCCCTCGGCCCGCACGGCCGGGGTGTGGCTGATTACTTCGGCGTTGACCCGCGTTCCATCGACATCCTGATGGGTACTTTCACCAAGTCCTTTGGTGCCGCGGGTGGTTATATATCCGGCTCGAAGGCTGTTGTAGACCGTATCCGCGTTCGCAGCCACTCGCACGCCTATGCGGAAGCCATGACGCCTCCAGTCTTGACCCAGATCATTGCCAGCATGGCCAGTATCATGGGTGTCGCGCCTGCCCTGCCGACTCATGGTTCGACCGGTACGATTACCAAGGGACGGATTGTAGAACAGGAGAGTCCCGAGCCCTACCCTGGTCGCGCTCCTGCCTCCATCTTGCCCAGCTGGATGGATCTGCCGCCCGCCATGCGTGAAGGTACTGAAGGCCGCGATCGCCTGCGCCGTCTGGCCTTCAACTCTCGCTATCTGTCTCGCGCCCTCGAGAAGCTCGGTTTCATCGTCTACGGTCACGACGACTCTCCCATCGTCCCTCTGTTGATCTTCAACCCTGGAAAGATGGCGCTGTTCCACCGGCTCATGCTGCAGAGCAACACGCCTATCGTCATTGTGGTCGTGGCGTACCCGGCTACTCCGTTGGTGACCAGCCGAGTGAGGTTCTGCGTCAGCGCTGCTCACACGAAGGCCGATATCGACGTCGTACTCAAGGCTTGCGACTGGATCGGTGATGTGCTGGATTTGAAGCATGCTCCTGGTGAACGGTGGTCATTGGAAAAGATCACCAGCAATGCTGTGGAACTGGTCCGGATGGAAAGCCAGAAGCATGCCTAGATTTCTGGTCTGTTTCGTTTCCGATGGTGTGCACTATGGTCCGCCCTACATTCTGTTTATACCTATTAGACCGCGAATGCTTCAGCCTTATCTTCCGTTAATGTACCTCCACGTAATGTATCATATTCCAGTGCAAGGTTCTTTATCGAGGCTCGAGCCGTGGCAGCGATTATTCCTGTCCTTGCTAAGGAACGCAGTATATAGGTAACATCCGACGCCTCGGCGCTGAAGAATACCCAGGATCACCGACAGGGCGATCAGCCATCAAAACTGAGGCCTGAAGCCTGAGGCCTGAGGACTGGCTGGGGTGGGAGAAGATCTGGACAGACGATTAAACTGAGACAGAAGATGCGGGAGCACAGATGAAGCCCGATTTGATAGAAGCGTTCATAGTCCATTTGCTTCCGCGGTTTGAAGTATGTTCGTAGGTTCGTGAGCGAGTTAAGTTGGGGTTGAGCGATGCAAGTTCAGGCCTACATCAGCAAAATGGCAGCCCACGCTAAGAGGGATCCAGGCGCTAAGTACCGCTAAGGCGCCCTTACCGAGCGCCTTAGCCCTAACTCTCTGAGTTTCTTAGCCAATGCTCTAGAGGGGCGGCAGAGCAATATAGATAGTTCTGTTGATAATAGATATACATGTATTGTATAACAGTAGGACTAGATGAGGGCGGAGACTCGTAATTTAGGATTTGCGATCGTTGAAGGCCAAGGCAACTTGGATTATAAAACTTTATAGGGACAGTACCATTGTGTCCTGATGGCCTAACAGTTAAATCATATGGTATGATTTGGGCGATGCAGGTTCGAATCTTGCCCAGGTTACTATTTTTCTCTTTACTCCCCACTTATTTCTTGTCTGAGTGTTCTTAACACCTTAATCCAGGACTTAGCTAAGTCTTGGTACTGGGCTCAGGGGGTGGGCCCCCATGACTTAAGACCGCGGACTTGGTACTTATTTGCCTGACATTCGTTCTTAGCTTCGCTTAGACGGTCGTGCCGTTTTGCTGATGTAGGCTATCATCGATGGTCATGTAGCCCACTATACTTGGGTAAGGACGACTTTCCGCGAAGAGCTCCTCGGCGCTCTTGCCCACGAGGCGGCTGGCGACCTGGCGGATGGCTTCGCAGACCTGCCCGCCGTGGTATCAGTTACGAGAAAGTCCGAGTCGAATGACGACTATGAGCAAGCCGAGGTTGCCAGCGCTAGCGGAATGCAGACACTTCAGGGCCAAGCAAATCACTGGCAGCGATGAAAATGCGTGCGGTCGGAAGAATTCGAAATGTAAATTTGCTCGTGAGGAACAACTTAGAGTAATTACTAGCAGACGTTCGGGGCCTGCAACTGTGCGACACACGGATCCCAGATGGGCGTTAACGTCGATCGACGCTACGGGACTAGGCTAGTGCATATTTCCGATACAGCATAGGGAAGTCCCCCCTTAGCCCGCTTTTGGAAGTGAACCCTACCCAAACGAGTAGCTGGGGCGCCGCAGCAGTGGTAAACCACGTGCGTGGACCTTGCCGAATATACGGCAAGGAACTTCGTGCTGTTGACTCCCCGTTGTGCTCGCAGTACTATAACCTAGTAGTTGTGATTTATCCTGTAGATAATGTACCAGGAGGAGCTACTGAGCTTTGGGACTCCCCATTGACAGTAGGAGACAGTCTGAAAAGCTACAGTTCTCTCAGCGTGATTTTTGATCCCAGTAAGGCTTCTACTGGGCCACATTTAGTGCCTCC